CACACGCACGCACGCACACACACATAACACACACTAGTCTTTTCATAAAACATTCGGGGCTTGAGCCCAAGTAGCCGGGCCTAATGCCGCCCCTGCTTAGCGGTCTAGCAAGGACCGGCGAGAACCCATACTCATTAGCATCCTGCCCATGGATTCAGACACACCCAGGGTCTTCGTTTAAACAGCAGGAGGTGACTTGCATTGATTTTTTATTTTCTTTTTGTCCCCGTGGGCAGGAATAACTCAGGACCGGATAGATGAGTGCAGGGGAGCTAAAGAAAGGACCATGCTTGCTGACATTCAGGCTCTGATTCACAGTGGAGCAGATTTAAACACACAAGACAACAACGGAGCAACGCTGGTGAGACACAAGGACACTTCTGCTCTGTGAGACGTCCTTTCTTAGAGTTTGAGTCAGCTAGAAGATACAAAGCATTTTATGTTTCTGATTGAAACAGTGACAGAAGATTCATCAATATTTGATGAGTTGGGTTACACCTTATAAAACATGTTGTGTTCTGGTTGATCTCTTCTCAGCTCCATATTGCCTCTGCCAATGGCTACATGTCAGTGGCAGAGATGCTAGTGGACAGCAGGGTCAATATGGAGCTAAAAGACTCTGATGGGTGGACACCGCTACATGCTGCCGCCTGCTGGGGACAGGTCGGTACTGCAGTTGAAGCCAACGCTTTATAAAACTTCATTCTGAGTAATGTTTGTGTTTTTGTTTGACAGATCCAAGTAGTGGAGCTGCTGGTGGCCCATGGGGCTGATCTAAATGCAAAGTCTGTCTTAGATGAGACACCTCTAGGTGAGAAGAACCCAACTCGCTCCATAAAGTAGCATTTAGTACTTGTCTGACCTGTCCTGGTGTTTTAACAGACGTGTGTATGGACGAAGCGGTCCGAGCCAAAATGATGGACCTGAAGAGCAAACACGACGCCATCATGAAGAGTCAGGACAGGCAGAAGGGCACGCTGCAGAGACGAGCATCCAGCACCGGAAGCAGAGGGTGAGAGTCAGATATTCCCGCTGGAGTTGAGACATTTTAACTCCCTCTCTGTGTCTCGTTTGCTACTACAGTAAAGTGGTGCGTCGCGTCAGTGTGAACGAACGCTCCAGTCTGTATCGGAGGGAGCATCACAAAGAGGCGATCGTGTGGCAGGAGCGCGGCCGGCAGCCTGAAACTCATGACGACGATGAAGACAGACAAACCGACAAAGAGCTGCACCAGCACGCTGTTTTGGTGAATTTAAATGTCTCCTTATCACTTTTATCACACCAAGAGCGACAAAATTCACCCAGATGTTCTGTTTCAGGCTGCTGGTGCTGCAGCAACGACGCGCCTAGAGGAGCTGGAGGCAGCTGACAGGAAGATTGCATCAAGTGTGGCAAATGGGGAGACCTCTGCTTCTCTAGCGTCTTCTGTTCCTGGAGAGCAGTGGAGCGGGGGAGGCTACATGGAGCGCAGCGCCTCCTACCAGCTCAACCCTGCGTCTGGATCTGGACTTTCAGAGGGGGAGTCTGCGGACAGTATGAATCGGGAGAAATCGCACCAAACGCTGGCCGACCTGAAACGCCAGCGGGCAGCTGCTAAGCTCAACAAGTATCCAGCACCTCCACCTCCTCTGCCACCTCCTCTAGAGGAGGAGGAACCTTCTACTGCAGCAGCAGTCCAGACCACCCCCTCTCAGACTCAATCAGAAATCCAAATGAGCCCTCCAGCAGAGCAGGCCGCCTCCCCCAGCCAGGTGTACTTCACCCCGGCCAGCGGAGATCCTCCGTTACTGAAGCTCCGAGCCCCGGAGGAGGAGCAGACCAACAACAAGGAGCCCTGCTGTGGCCTCATGTAAACACACTCCAGTCACACCTGTTCAGAAACAAGACTTCCTAATGGCCTCATGACATTTGCTACATCATCGTGTGCCTTTCAACATGTGACACATAATGATGGGATTAATACTGTTGACTTGGCCAAACATCCTGGATCCGGGGAATTATCATGACTTCTGTTTATTCTCCTCTTCAATTCCACCCACAGAGGGCGGGATACAGGACATAAAAGTATCAAATTAGGATTAAATTCTATGCTAAAAAATATAAAACCTAACATGGTTGAAGCCTGCATATTATCATGAGTGGTGTCCCGTACTAGGACACCTCAGACTGTGACATCACAACCTAGTGGAGAAACTTCTCTGTTGCACGTTTTGTGGTGAGCCACGTGCCATGGATGGCTTGATCTACATCCAGTTAGCGTGCAACCTAGCGATCCCTCCTCTTTATGTTGTTCCCTTCTCTTTTGCACAGTGAGGTGTTTACTCGAGCTCAGGAAAGCTACAGGTTTCACTCTTGGGAGTCAAAGATGAGTGAACGCTGTGTTTTCCATGTAAGCCGTGAAGTTTAGCTGTGATTCGTCTGACCTTTGACTTTGACAAACACTTGTATTTTAAGGAAAATAAGGTTTTAAAGCTTGAAACACTAGTTTTTGTATACACTGAACTATTCGAATTACACACTTCGACATTCAGCGTTTCGAATTTTTTTTTTCTGGTTTAAAAATTTCAATATTTGCAACTGCGATTTGTTTCACTGTTTTGCCACAAAACAAGATAATTATCATTTAAATCTATTAAAAAGTGACCCAGACCCTTCTCTTCACATCCTTAAGCTTTAAGTCAGTATTTCTGCTCTCCTGTCTTTAGAATTAAATCGCATTATTTATCGTTACACTGAATATTTCTGCTTGTACGTTTTTACTTTTCTTTAACAGAATGATCAAAGACATTTAGCGATTTGTAATCAGAAAAGCACATTTCAGATGACTGTCTTATCAGAGAGGTTGGTGCCTTTATTTGGTGACTTATTTATTTGCTACGCTTGCACAAAGACCCATGTGTAAATTTGGTGCACGGCGGGATTAAATAAATGTAAATTCACTCCAGCTGTTATTACATTTCAGTTTTTGATAGTGATTTTTACTGATTCCTGTGTGAAAAAGACAGGACATGAATGCATTTTCACAAATGACATTTGTATTTTTATAATGGCAGGTGCATCTTACGAATAAATCTGAGTATTTACGACTGTTATGTTCAAATGAAGTAGGGCTAGTATCCATTTCAGCACACGTGGGGACATGTAGGTGCCCGTTTTTCACTCGAACCCCTCACCCTTCGCTCGCTACGTCCTTTTGTCTTCCATCATGCTCCCCTTCTCCTATGGACTTCAGTCTGTTCTGGTCCCTCTGCCAGGGCAGCAGTTGTAAAGGAAATTCTCAAGTTGTTATGGAAGTCCAACATGCAGATAAAACTGTAGCAGATTCAGGTTTCATGTTGCTTTTGTAAAGGTTACCGCAGCAGCTTGTGTTGGAATGGCGGCCGCCGGTATTCTAAATTCCTGCTGAGGTTGAAATCACGCTGCAGAGCTTAAGGAGCTGCTCTGAAACCGCATCTCTTACATTTATTTGATATTTGATGCTTCCAAAATACGCTCGGTGACACACCAAAGTCACCACGATGTCACATGTTGGGGAGATCGAATGTCTTTCCTATGTTTGTTTCAAGATCTCTGACAGAGTACTTCTCCCTTACACACACACACACACCTTGGTTTTCTTCACTTACTGACTTATTCAAACAAATTTTTCTTTTTCTGTCTTCTTACTCCAACCACAGAGCACACACGTGTAGTCCGTTTTGTCAGGATAAACTTTATAAATGCAGTAAAATTACAAAAATACAAATTTTGATGCTTCACTTGCTTCATTATTCGCACATTTTACGTGTTCGATGATACCTTTATTATATTTAATGAGTGGAACAAACTGTGCTGGTTGTGTTTCAGAGATGGAAAGTTACAGCAATAAATCATGAAATGACTTGTCTGAATTCAGCTCACATTCTTGGGTTTCAGGTCATGGCAGCTATCATGGTGTATCGCCCAGATCTGCAGCGGTATCTGCATCGCCAACAAAGGTTTTAGCACTTTTCAGTAAAAGTGTTTCTTTATAGTCTGTAATTCATTCAAATAAACCTCAATCCTACTCCTGTTCATCGTTTTCAAATGGCAAACAGATTAAGTCAAAAAGATAACACAAACAAAAGACTTAGGCTGTTGATAAAGTTTGAACTGTTGCAACTAAGTCAGTTACAAAAAACTTGTGCCAAAAGAAAATACATTTTCAATGTTTAGAATATTCTAAAATATTTGCACAACTATAAACTGGCAAGTTGTTTTTGACAGAAAATATACTTTTGTACTTTTAACATACTATTTTTTCATCTATAATTTTAAAGCAGTTTTTAATTCAAAGATGCTCTCAGGGACTTTATTTTTATTACAGAACAGTGGTGCTACCGATGGGTGGCAAGGAGGGGCAATGACCCCCCCCCCCCCCCCATGGAACACCACTATCTCCCTTCCCTTAACATATTGCATTAATATTCACATAAATTATACATTCAGCTTTTAACTAAGAGATAAATGGTAAAGCCAATAAATATATGTTGTTTAATAAATAAATTATAAAATAAATCACAATTTCAATATATATGTTGTTTAATAAATAAATTATAAAATAAATCACAATTTCAATATATATGTATCTGTGGCTTACCTTAAAAAGTTTAGATCCCAATAGTTTTTGTGAGTATTGCAGTTTAGATGGCAGTAGACAAATAAAGCAGTTTTATAAACTAAAACAGTAAAAATTAAAACAAAATCAGAAAAAAACATTTAAAAAATCTCAAATATTTGTGTTTCTCAAATTTTATGTAAATGCACAATGCATAGGTTAATTGTTTTTAAATGAAAAATAAAAAGGATTGATGCAATACTCAGCCATTGGCTAAACGCTCCCAGTTATCGCAGGGATCAATTTTGTGTGCCAACCCAAACTTTTCACCCCCCACCACACACACACACACACACACTTTTCACTTTACCCCCCCCCCCCCCCCCCCCCCCCCAAAGATTTTCTGGGAGCACCCCTGTAACATGAGAAATACAGTATGAGATTTTCATTTTCAGTCCATACTAGTGCTACTTTTGGTAAAGAAAAAACTATATTAAGAAATCTATTAACCTAAGAAGCTTTTAAAAAAGTATGTTTTATAAATAAGTATTTACTATCATGTGGCTGTTATGTAATTACACTTTTCACATTAATAGCTTATTAGTTATTGTTTGTATGTTGATTATGTCATCTTATAAATCAAATATTATGTAAAAGTTTTCTTTTGGGTGTTATTAATAAGCAAAATCTGGATGTGAAACTTTTTGTTGTGGTGAGTTCAAGGAATCGAAATGATGGCAGGAAATTGAAACTTCTCTATTCTTTTTGAGTCCGAGAATTACACTTGACTTGCTGATAATTAAAACAAGCGTCGCGTTGACAATATTAATCAAATATCTCGTAGATAATTTGATTCTACTTCCATTTGTGTCATTTTTAACTTTGAAGTTCTGTGTTTGTCCTCAAGTGCGTCATTAGAAATCAGTAAGTGAACGCTTAATTTCCGACGGCACTTGAAGGTGTCCTTTTGAGGCGAAAACTAGAGAAGAAAGTCCGACCAGCCCCTCGCAGGAGCGACCGGAGGCGTGGCGGTCCGGCTGGGATAATATGAAAACCGAGTGGGGCCCCGAACTCTACCGGAGCTCAGAGAGAAAACAAACACACGAGTTGAGCTGACTTGAACGTCTCCATCTCCACGGAGCAGCTGGTAATCACTGATACACTATTAACGGTCAGGGATGTCTGCTCTTTATAGATAGACTTTCTTTCTTTCTTTCTTCTCTCTGATACTTTTCAGATAACAGTCCAGTGTGCGGGATTCAGCGGGATAACGGAACCAAAATGTCCCAAGATCAACAGGCGGTGAACGGGGTGTCGTGCGTGTCCAAGGTGCTGACTCTGGACACCATGAACCCCAACGTGAGGCGGGTGGAGTACGCGGTGCGGGGGCCAATCGTCCAGCGGGCGGTGCAGATAGAGAGGGAGCTCCGAGAGGTACGAGTCAAACGTAGGGGTGCGGGTTTGGGGCGCGCGCTGCTCGGTGCGCGAGACGGAGAGGCACGAGGGAGAAGGAAAGTAGCGCGAAAAGATAAATAAAGAGATATAATCGCTGAAGCGCTCAGAAACAGGTTAGACAACGTTAGAGAGGGTTTTATTTACTCAACTTTAGCAAAGTAAATCTAAAATACACATGATTGTCTTTTTCTAACACCTGTTAGGAAAATAACACTGAACTTTAATGAGTTTTCCAGCTACTGGGACAATGTTCTTCAAAAATATGTAAAGAAGTGGGTCAGCTTTTCAAGTCCTCCTATAACAAAAGTATTATTGTAATTGTCGGTCCACTGTTCTGCTATAAAAATGTTGAATGAAGTCCTATTTCACGTGATGAGCTGGAGAGGACAGCTAGGTTTCACTCCCCTCCAAGCCCCGAGGTGGCTGCAGGACTGAGGATGTGGACATAGTGAAGTGTTATTACATAAGATGAGCATTCTCTGTCCTCCTTTGTTTCTCCTGCTTTGCTCGCAGAGGGAGGAGAGTTTTTGTTGGGCTGAGCTGCTGCTGGGAGGCCCAGCAGGCTCTGCAAGGAGGTTCTTATGAAAAAAAATTGTGCTCTTCTGTGGTTTCGGCTTACTTTTATTCACCTTGTGCAGTAGGAAGGGTTTGATTTGTAAAATCTTGCTGTTTTCTGAGGGGTTGCAGGGTTCGTGCAGCAGCAGCTGACAGTTATCCCAGGGTGTGCTTCCTGTCAGGACACTTTAACTGGTGGCTCAGCAGATTTCATGCGTGCATGTGTGTTTTTAAGTGTCTGTGTGCTCTGATGTGATGACGACCCTTATAAATCCTTACCCAGACATCTGGCACGGCGCTGCTGCAGTGATCTGTCAGGTTTGGATCTCTGCTTCTGGCAAGTCTACATTTTCTGACAATAGTGTGGTGACACCAGAAGAGCAGGAGAATGGAAACCGAATCCACCTGGTACTGTCCGTACTGTTCAAAAGGCTAGGTGTCATTATAGAGCAGGTGTTTTATCAATGTGCAATCTTAGAAGCCATGTTACAAGAAATGCATGTGAGGAGGTTAGTCAGGAAGGAACCCAGTTTGGATCAGTTAGCGCCTGAACTAGCTGAGGATAGTTTAGGGTATTTGTCGGCCCGGTTGGACCTGTGCACTCAGTGCCTGGTGCTGCTGACCGAGCTGGAGAACGCAGGAACTAACTGGCTCTGAGAACAACCAGGCTCTTTGTTGCACGTCTGGAATAAGGACTGGATTAACACTAAAAAGGGAACATGCTGCATCGAGTCACTTAGACCTCCAGAAAGCTGAACCAAAAGAACGTGAAGGAAACCTCAGAAAGCTGTAGTGCTATGTAATGGAAGTTTTTATGGCATTACAGAAAAGTAAAGTGTAACAGGATTGGTGAGCTAAAGATCTCCAAACGTTCTCAACTGATGACGCAATTCCTTTATGTTGGTGTCAGTTTCATGTTACGCCGTTATTTAAAATCATCCGGGGGACGAGTCAGGCTGGAATTTCTTCACAATCCTGCCGAAGCAATCACGAAACGCAAAAGACTGACCGTTTTACCTCAAAGAGCCCATTTAGGAGGCTATCTACACTGTAAGAAATGAAATGTTGAATTTACGTAATAAAGTTGTGTCAACTGGTTCCACTAAATCTGGTCACTTAAATGTAAAGAGTAATAATATACATTTATTTTTGACATAAACATTTATGACAATGTATATCATTCATTACATTTAAGCAACTAGGTTTAATGGAACCACTTGACACAATTTGGTTAAGTAAATTTATTATTTAATTTCTTAAGCCTGGTTTATGCTTCTCCGTCAGCTCCGCAAGGGACAGACACGCACGGATTGACGGAAGCGTTTTGCTCTCACACTTCTCCGTCTCCTGGAGAGTGTTGCAAAGCAATTGCCCGGCAGGACACCAGAGGGCGTAGCGCTGTTCTGTGGTATCCTGTCATGTATCGGTCCAAGATAGTGTGTTTATATTGTGTTTTTTGTGTATATAAGAGACTTTTAACACGGACATATTTGTCTCTCATTCTCCCACCGCTTCATGCGCTCCCCACCTCTAAACCCACGTTTCCTGTCATTTCCGTCCCCAAATAAAACGCTTGCTGCGCTTCTTTTCACTCCTCCAGTCACGGGAGAATTAAACGTTCATATTTTTAGAGTTTTTTCGCAAGGTATTCTTCAAGGTTCTATCCTCGGCTCTCTGCAATGGTGGCGCTGTAAACAACAGCGGCGTCCTGACCAATCACAAGCTTGCGTAATCCGTCTCGTTCGACGGATGTTTAAAAAAGTGGGCTCGACTCCGTGCGTACTTGCGTGCCTGCCGGAGCCCTACGCAAGGACGGATAATGGCGTTGCGTGTCTCCGCACTGACGCAGACGGAGAAGCATAAATCAGGCTTTAGAGTGTATAAAAGTCAATATTGTGATTATTTACAACTTTCTCACAAAAACACACTTTAAACGATGCTAAATAGCCCTTTAAAGTGTCACGGTTCTATATTAAAAATGTGACGTTAGTTGGATTAACTGAATTCTTTGCAGTTTTTCAGTTGATTTAACTTAAAGAAAAAGACCTTCATTCTGGAAACTCACAGTAAAAATGTGTTATCGGCAGTTTTTTTGTTTTGCATTCTTAAGACTAGTGATTATTGTCAACGTCGTACATTTTGTGTGACCTTTTCATTGATTTGTCCCGTGCAGCGTTGGTTAGAACGCCTGATCTGCACATCTTAAGTTCAAGGAAGATCCACGAGTGATTGGTACTCTCCTCTGATTGGATCACAGAGAGTTTCCTATAAGCCGTTTTATCTCTTAAACATTTATGGTAAATGAAAACTTCAGAACTGTCGGATTACCCCCAGAAACGTTTATTTTTGTCAGCCGTGCTGCAAGGTGACTCGAATCTGTCTTGTGTCACGTGAGGTCATCTGAGAAACAGCAACAGCTGCTGCTTGTTGGGATCAACAACCTCTCCGCACAGGCTCAAGATGTGGTTTTGTGAAGAAGAAGAAGAAGAAGAAGAAGAAGAAGAAAATAAAGAAGAGTGAACACAGTCAAAGGGTTAGATTAGGTTAGCGTGGATTGATTAATAACCCTGGCTCATAGTGGACTGTGAGCGCCGACCCTAACACGATCCCCTGTCTTCCTCCACCGCACATTAACTCTGAGCCGGGGTCTTTGTGAAGCAGAGGGGGGGCTGATGGAGGTCATGTGATCTGATTACAAGCAGCACTAAGTGGATTTGCATAAAAAGGGGGCAACAGATAAGTTTGTTAGGCGGAAAGTTTGTCTCGTGTCTCCTCCCCGGACAAATCTTTAGCTGTACACGTCAGAGTGAACTCATCTGGGGTTTGTCCACGCCCCTTTCTTTAGTTTTTTCCTCAAAAATTCCCATCATGATGCAACACGGTCTTCTATTTGTTTTATTGTTGCAGGGAGTCAAGAAGCCCTTCACAGAGGTCATCAAGGCTAACATAGGCGACGCTCACGCCATGGGTCAGAGGCCGATCACCTTTTTCAGACAGGTTTGGACAAACTGCTGCTCTGAAATCCCAGCAGCTGTCCCAAACTAAAGCCCAGATTGACCTGTCTGTCCCCGGCTCTCAGGTGTTGGCTCTGTGCTCGTACCCTGATCTCCTGGAGGACAACAAGTTTCCCGAAGACGCCAAAAAGAGGGCACGGCGCATCCTTGATGCCTGCGGAGGTCACAGCATTGGTGAGACAGCTCCTCCGACCCCGTGACCACTGTTAATCACTTGAACAGCTAGTTGGTGTGTAGGCTCAAATCCGTAGTCATTCCCTCTGGTGTGCTGCAGGGGCCTACAGCGCCAGTCAGGGGATTGAGTGCATCCGCCAGGATGTGGCGCGCTACATAGAGAGGAGAGACGGTGGCATCCCCTCCAGCCCCGACAACATCTACCTTTCCACTGGAGCCAGTGACGCTATAGTGGTACCTATCACTCCTAGGCTGTGCACCAGAACTCAACATTTCTTTAGAAAATCACTTCAGAGTTCTCCTTTTTAAAGAGAAACCACATGTTTCCCTTCAGGAGTAAAAGGATAAAATCACAGCGACCAGAACATAATCTGTACAAAAATTCAACTATGCCAACATTTGGAGGGAATTAAACGCTCCGGTGGTTCCTCCGAAGGATTGGATGACCTGAAGCTTAATCTGTGACACTCCTGAGTTGTGTTACCAGTTAAATCCTACACTAGTGACATGCTTTTTAATGCATTGTTGTTAATCATGAACTAAGTTGCACTTTGCACATCCGTATCTACCCCACCCGCAGACCTTTGCTCCTGTCACGTTTATGCAATCCTTGGAACACAGCCAGAAACATTTCACTGTCTGAAAAAATAAAACCCAAAAATCATCTTAACTAAATAAAGCCTTTCCACCAATTCTCCCACTCAGACCATTCTGAAGCTGCTGGTTTGTGGCGAGGGTCGAGACCGCACCGGAGTGATGATCTCCATCCCTCAGTACCCTCTGTACTCCGCCGCCCTGGCGGATCTGGCCGCCGTGCAGATCAGTTACTACCTGGATGAGGAGAACTGTTGGAGTCTGAACGTAGAGGAGCTCAGGAGGGCGCTGAAGGAGGCCAAGCAGTACTGCAAGCCCCGTGTCCTCTGCATCATCAACCCAGGAAACCCCACAGGTCAGGCTCCTGAGTGCAGTTTTGTTTTTGTGCATTAAACTGGCACCTTTGGCTCAGAGTCGACTCTTTTTGTGCGTGATAGGTCAGGTCCAGAGCAGGCAGTGTATCGAAGATGTGATCCGATTTGCTAAAGAGGAGCATCTCTTCCTCATGGCCGATGAGGTAAATGAACAAAAGTCCTTCTAGTTAGCAGGTTTTAACCCAAAGCACATATTAATATTAACAACTCGAACATAACGATATTTTTAGTACAATTTCATTCGATTATTGTTATGGAGCTGATTGTTCTGCTGCAGGTCTACCAGGATAACGTCTACGCAGATGGCTGCAAGTTTCACTCCTTTAAGAAGGTGCTGTTTGAGATGGGACCAGAGTTTTCCAGCACGGTGGAGATGGCCTCCTTCCACTCTACCTCCAAATGCTACATGGGCGAGTGAGTCGCCACCTACGCTTCTCGGTCACGTGAACTTCTGAGCTGTGCACTAATCCTCGTGTTTGCCTTTCCTCAGGTGTGGTTTCCGTGGAGGCTACATGGAGGTGATCAACATGGACCCTCAGGTTAAGGCCCAACTCACCAAGCTGGTGTCCGTGCGTCTGTGCCCCCCCGTTCCTGGACAGGCTCTTCTGGAGCTGGTGGTGAACCCCCCACAGCCCGATGAGCCATCCTACAGCACGTTTATGAAGGTACTAAGCCCGTCCAACGTCTCTCCACAAACAGCACGGTGATTGGCTAAGGCTAAACTTAGCCCTGCTGAGGCTCCAGTGGAGCACGGCTACACCGACCTGCTATGGTTAATCTGGATTTTCAGATTAGTTTTGTTCATGAATGGAATTAATGTCATAAATCAGATTATTTATAGCATATTCCATGATGCACGGTGATGTCCGAATGGGCTCACGCACAGACAGAGGCGCCGTTATCGGGTCATTGATGTGTGTTTACGTGTAATCTGACTCTAGAGCTAGATTTTTTTCATGCATGGGAAAAAGTTTCTAGCTAATTCTGTCCTTTTGTCAAGTGTGAGGCCTCAGAGCTGCAGACGGGTTCAGGTGGGAGTCCATGTGTAATGCCTCCTACTGGCCACAAGGCGGAGTGAAAAAGTCTGGATTACACAACCAGTGTGAGGCTGAGCAATTGATGGATTAAATTATTGTTAGGATTAAAAATTAACAAGGAGACATCCTGAAATGTTAACATTTAAGTCTGTTTTTTTCCTCCACTAGAAATAAACCTTAAATCTGGGAAATGTTTTACAAATGACGATTTTCAGCCAACAGTTCTGGAAAATTGTTCATTTTGGGGTTTTATATGTTCAGTAGCGCCCCTTCCCGACAGTGCTGGCAGCCATCAACGTTATTTATTTAGTTTAGACTATTTTTCTTATGTTTTTGTAAATCTGAACAAAGGGGCTGACCACATTAATACTTTTTATGAATCCATAGCTTTGGATAGAAAGTTCTCATGAGGAACCAAGGATAACAATTAAGGGGTTTAATTTTGGGTTATGTTTCGTAGATTTGGGAATGTTTGGCTAATCTGTCTAAACAGCTGCGGTGTTGATGAAAGAGGTTTTGGTACAAGCCTTTTCCTAAGAAATACTGTTATTAGAGTTGTGTAAGAGTGACTCGTATCAGGAGAGAGGCTTTGTCATCATCCACCTGGTTTTTGTGGGAGGATGTAGTCTCCAGCTCCAGCCTTCTTCTGTGGTCACCCTTCCAGCTCAGAGATGCGTTTAGTGTCCCGTCGCTACGAATGGAAGCTCTCTCCATCAAAGCCAACTCGAGTTGTTCATTCCAGCAGAAGATCTTCCAGGATTTGGATCGTCTCCGAGGGCTAACTGTGTCTTTCCCCTGCAGGAGCGGACTGCTGTGCTGGCTGCTTTGGGGGAGAAAGCTCGTCTAACAGAGGAGACCTTCAACAGCGTACCCGGTATCACCTGTAACCCGGTCCAGGGAGCCATGTACACCTTCCCCTGTATCAGCCTACCTCAGAAGGCCATCGACAAGGCCAAGGTGTGCCGTCAGACACACACCGGTGTACCTGTGTTTTGAACTAGAGGGATTAATAAGTGTGTGCCCACAGGAGGAAGGTCTAATCCCAGACATGTTCTACTGTATGAAACTGCTGGAGGAGGAGGGGATCTGCCTGGTACCAGGAAGTGGCTTTGGACAGAAAGAGGGAACCTTCCACTTCAGGTTTTAAGCTTTGCTCTCTTATGACACACCACTAACTTAATCCCAGCTTTGACATCGAGTCCGTATGCTCCTCCATCCAGGATGACCATCCTACCTCCGACAGAGAAGCTGAAGGTGGTGCTGCAGAAGATCCGGGACTTCCACTTGCGCTTCACACAGGAGTTTTCCTAACGGATCCGTTCGAGAACCAACTCATCCAATGCCAGTATCTCAAGGAGGGAGCAGTCATCGAAGTACTCGCCTGTCATCTCAAGAATTTTGAATAAAAACAGATGAAGTCCGATTTTAAATGTCCAAAAGGATGGAAGTTACTTTTATTTTCCTGATGCACTTTTTAGGATCACCCAGCCAGGTCCAACGTGATCAGAAATGTGATTTAATGGTGATTGTGTCGAATGACCAGCCTTTCTGCAGACTGTTTAGTGGTTCTAATTTAACAGATTAGCTGGCCTGGCCTGTAACAGAAGTGCCAGTACAGAAGGTACCGTTTGAGTTTTTTGTGTTACTAATGTTTGAAATGTTCTTAAATCTTTTGAGCTGTATGACTTCCATTTAAAGTTTCTACAAAACTCTTCACTTGTCTTTCATTTTATAACGAGGAGTCACTTCTGAGTGCTGGCTCCAAAAGCAGCCATCATTTTAAAGATTTATTTAAAAATCATCAGCAGTGCTTACATGCTTTCAGGAACGGAAGCTGAACAGAAACTAAAACGATGATTTAAACTCTGAATCATCACAGCAACTCAGTAACACCGTTAATCCTCCTCCATGCTCCCTTCACCTCCCCACAGTTAGTCCGCAGCTCCTCGTGGAGAACGCTCAGAGTTCATCTCTCTGCTGTAGCTTGGTGGCGTGCTTTTCCAAGAATTTGCTGAAGCCTTCTAGCGTTCTGTCTCCACCCTCAAACTTCACCGGATTCTGCTTGTTGTTACTCGGGGCAAAGTATATCGTAGGGAAGCCTTCCACTTTGTAGTTGTCATTTGGCACGTCGTTAGCGGTGGCGTCCATCTTGGCGATCACCAGGTTCTTCTCGCTCTTGTACTTCTTCCCAAGAGCCAAATAATCTGGCTCAAGTTTCTTACAGTGGCCGCACCAGGGTGCGTAGAACTCGATCAGGACATCTTTACTGGTGTCCATGACGATTTCATCAAAGGTCTTCCCCACCACGACTTTAACAGGTCCCTTATTGTTCTTTGGCACCGACTGGGACTTGATGATGGGTGTGAGTTTTCCTGTTTGCACAGATTAAGATAATATTAAGAAAAGTGGAAATAAAAGCAAAAATCTTTCAAAAATCAAACATTTACCTTTCTTAAACGCAACAACAAAATCTCTCAGCACCTCGGAGTCCAACTCCTCCGGCTCCATGGCGAACTTTTTGCCTCCATCTGCCAAAATGGCAACATTCACTTCCTCCCCGCTCTCGCTCAGGCCGAGACTCTTCAGCTCCTCAGCGTAATCCTCCTCATCAGCGATGGCAAACGTATACTCTGGGAAGTCCTTGGCTACATCCAGCACCTTGGACCTCCAGAACTGGGTAGCTGCGATCAGATTTATTAAAACAAACCCAAGAAAACATCGTATGATCATCAGAAATGCTAACGACTTCACTCACCAACTCTGAAGTCAAAGCTGAAGTCAACCCCGTAATACACGACCACCAGGGGTCTGCTGGCATAGCGCTTGGCATCATTGCTGGGTTTTCTGTGTCCCACCAGAGGAACGGAATACTTTTTGAAGAAATCTTGAACGTCTGATACCGATGTGGAGTCCTGCGTGTTTGGAGGGATCGGTCGCACATCTTAGACGAGGACGCCATTTTCATCTCATCACATAAAAAACTAAACTCAAAGTTTCAGACTAAATGAGAGGAATGCAAATTCAACTAGAATAATAATTAAAAAAAAAAAGGATGCTGCACCTTGATTGCAAGTTTCTGAGACGCTGGTTCGTACTTTGAGTGGAACTTTTCAGGCTGAAGGACAACAACCTGACCCAGAGAAACTTTAAGAAGTTTGGCTACTTCGGGGCTGAAGGAGTGACGGAAGGTGAAGTCCTCCCTTAGCGCGTTACCTGAAAGAAAGACACGTCCAGCACATAAAAATGACAATTACACATTCGACTTCACTGCAAACCCAACCAAACTACTTGTGAAACTACGCACAGGCCTCGATGTAGGTCTCATAAGCCGCATCCTGTTCACCGGAGAACACTCCGACTATAACGGCGTCGTCGCCATCTTTAAGGAGCTCCTGCACCTGCTTTGCAGACTGGATCTGCTTAGATGGAGGTCCGGCCTGTTCACTCATGTAGTTCACAATACCTAAAAGGGAGGAGGAGGAAAAGATCAGCTCGGATAGAAGTGATAACTGGGAGAAACAGAACAACCTGGGTCTATTCTGTCATTGGGTAAAGATTTAAATCAAATCAAATCACTTTTATTGTCACGTCACATGTGCAGGTACACTGGTACAGTACATGCGAGTGAAATTCTTGTGTGCGAGCTTCACAGCAACAGAGTTGTGCAAAAATACAGTAATGTAAAAACAAGTAAAATATAAAAATGGCTAATCTAAATATACAAATGAATAAAGTAAACAATTAAATGTGCACATGCTAAGATGTTCAGCAGAATCTTTTCAGAGAGGTTTGCTGATACATAAAAGAGAGGGAGCTATTGCAAAATGCAAAACAAGAACCCAAGCATTGGTGCTGTCACAACTACTCATGATAAAACAAACAAAGAATATGTTTTTTCCAAATATATGCAGGAAAATGTGTCTGGCTCTCAAATGATTTGCATAAATCCAGAGCAGAAGACGGGTGCAGAGCATCGCTAACGAGCAGCCTACCCACCGTACTGCTCTCTGGGCCCGTTGTAGTCGAACACCTTGCCCTTCCTGAAGATCTTCAAGGTGGGATAGCCCGTGACTCCAAAGCGTGACGCGACCTCACTTTCCACCGTGGCATCAACCTTGGCCAGAAGAATAGGAGGAGTGCGCTGGCTCAACGCTTTAGCAGCCTTCTCGTACTCTGGAGCCAGACGCTTGCAGTGTCCACACCTGCAGGTCGGTGTTGCAGCAAAAGGAAGTGTTAGCATTTTTAATTTTATAATAGAATAGATTCATCCCACAGTGGGGAAAGTCACTAGTTACAGCAGCAATAAGCCATTATTGTAACCTTCAACCATTAAAAACAAATGACAAGGAAACTTGGGCTTCCAGAACTATACTGACCAATCTTTAATAAAACTAGACAATCGTGCATTTAAACTGACCATGGAGCGTAGAACTCTACTAGAATGATGTCTGCGTTATTAACGGTATCATCAAAATTCTCCTTGGTCAGCACCAGCGTCGCCTCAGGAGGCGGCTTCCAGTCTGGTTGAGACACCTCTTTCACTCGCTCCACAATGGCTGCAACACACAAATAACCACTTTAGTGCGATTTTTCATTCTCTTGAAGAAGAGTTTGTTAGAAAGCTTTGAAACACCTACCCTTCTCTGTTCTGTCTCCATCGTAGTCCACCGGCTCCCCATTTTTCAGGATCTTAATAGTGGGATATCCCGACACATCAAACCTGCTCGCCAATGTGGTCGCCAACGTAGCATCCACTTTGGCCACAGGTATGGGAGGATCATTCTCCCTCAGAGTCTGAGCAATCTTCTCATACTCCGGGGCAAACTGCTTACAGTGTCCACACCTGAGATTTAAAATAAAAACAGTTAAATGTGCTGTTCCTTGTTCTCAGTTAATTTTACAACATTTTAAAAGACAGCAAACATACCATGGTGCATAAAACTCAACTAGAACTGTGTCTTTTCCCTCCATGAAGGTTTCAAAGTTGCCATCTGTGAGAATTAGAACTCCATTCTCTTCTTTCACCTCTGTATCATCATCATCGTCATCCCCATCCTCCTCGTCGTCATCAGTGTCCTCTTCAGCAGCATCTTCCTTCTCATCTTCTTCCACATCTTAACACCAAACAAAAGGAAGTGTCAGAGTCAAGACCAGCACGCTGCAGCAGAATGAATCCAGGCACCAGGATGTGCTTCAGTCTAGCTCCATTACAACTTGATACACGAAACTAATTTGAATGAGTAAAACTTTATTGGTACCACTCAAGAGTTAAGAAAACGCACACGTGCTGTTATCAGTATGACGTGTCCGCTAGCAGGCTAATTAAATAATGTACAGTAAACAATTTAGCTAGCAAGCAGGCTAATTACGCAATGTAAACACCTTAGCTAGCATGGTTTAATGAAAATAGCTAAGACACACAAAAAAAAACACCAGCTGGACTGCTTAAATAACATTGTTATAATAACACTAAAATATCTCACACTCACCATCTTCACATCTGCTGACGGTAGCAAAATGTGCAACGCCGAGCAGCACAATTAGCAACAAGGCAGCCTTCTTCATTGTCCCCCTGCGTGACTGACGTGCTGCTCCGTGGAAGTCCTTTAATGGTCTGCGCTACTAACACTGATGAATGTCATCAAACAGGCCTCTGCTACACAGACCCGCTCCTCGGCTCGGAACAATACTGATGAGTTATTGAACAAACCTTCGGCTTGTGGCTTCATACAAACTTACGTTTCTGAAAACGCGAGCGCCGCCTCCTCCGTCTGGAACTTGTCTGACTTGCCACGTTCTGATTGGTCCGCACCGTCCAATCACAAGTCGCCACTCAATTCTTGACTCTGATACGTAGAAAGCTGTGAATGGTTACTTTTATTTGTCATTGTTATCTGGACTTCACCACAATAACGGATTATTTAATAGGAAGAAAAGCATTCGTAATTTAATTATTTGAAGGTAAAAAGAGTTTAGATATGCAGAACGACTTCCTTCCTATTCGCTATCAACATGTTGGATGTTTCAGTAATTCCTCCAGAATAAATGTCATCACATTTTTTTCATATGTCATATTTTCATATGTATTGGGTTTTATTCTTATTATTTTTGTTTAATGCCTGTTTTTCTTGGTGAGAGTATACTTTTGTTACCCAGTGTTAATTCTGTAAATGAAAACTGTGTAAAGCACTGTTCTCATATCTAGTATCTGGCATGTAAAGCCTTTACTTGTGCTTAATCCACATAAAGAGAAAAAGTGACATAATTTGTATTTAGTGTCGAAACCGAAATGGCTCATCTCAAGCGGTTTTACCCTCCTAAAATATAAGTTAATAAATAAATCATTCTGACTCATTTTCACAAATATTCAGTTGTTCAACTCTGCAATAATTTGTTTACTTTAAAAATGGTGAACACTTATCGCGGTTGTATTCATCAGTACAAAATTATTTTTGTTCAATATTTGCACAGAAAATGTGACTAATTAAAATAACAGCTGTCTTCTTTTGTTTCCTCCACAAGTACCACCCACCTATTAATGAAAGGATAAATAATCTAGCGTTTAGGTAAGGCATGAAGTTTTATTTGGATCAGAAACATTGGATCCATTTGATCAAATATGATTCTAACCTGATGACAATAGTTAACACATTACTCATGTGTAAAATCAGGAAACTTGTATAAAGAAAATCAGACACAATCCAATCATTTTGCTGAAATATTCTTAAAATGCACACATTTGAGGAGATTCTTCTCTTTGAAATGCTTTCAAACCAAGAAACAAGTCTAGTACCCACCCGGGTCATTTGTTTCCTGCTCCCTATGCACCAGAACTTCCACCAACACCTCAGAACGAGATTTACCGAACCAGCAGCTGTCCTGTGGTTCGGCCCACTGCTTGGATCGCTCCTCTAAAACGTCACCTGCTCTAACATTTTTCAGTGACGTTGACTCTGAACACATCATGGAATGTTTCGTCTTTAGTTTGTTCTCAGTCGCCTTTAACACATGTGAACAATTTTTCCTCATTCTTCTTCTCTGGTGCAGGACTTTTTGGATCTTCTGTTCATTGTGGCACCTATAAAAAATCAAATAGTGAGTTAAAAAAATAACCTCAATGTGAGTGTGATGTAAGTCAACTTTAGTTACCTTAACAGGTAGGATTCATTTTCTAGAAGTGACTCATGTTCGGGTCTATTTACCACCATCTAACAGAGTCAGAAGTTGATTGGTAATGCCTTGACACATTTAAAATAATATATATATTTTTGTGTGTTTGTATTTTTGATCTGAAACTGGCCTCACCTGAGTATCCATGTTGGTCAGCTGAGGTGTGGATGTAACATCTGGACTGTTGGTGTGGTGCACGCTGTTAGAAAGCACATCCAGTCTCAACAGCAGCTCGTCTACTAAACCTTCCAACTCCTCAAGACAAAAAGTCTGAAAAAGGCAAACAAATTGATTTAATCAAAATGTGCCAGAAGTAATTTATTGTGAAACTGCAAAAACCTCGGGATTTCTGTACCACAACAAGAAAGAACACACCTCAGTAATGCCATTTTAAAGGGGACATGTGACTTTTTTTCTTAAGTTATAACAGTTCTATGGTCAGAACCAAACATGTTTATGAAAAGTTTGCTTCATAACATCCCTCTCACATTAAGCAATTTCCGTAATTCTATTCTCAACATTTTCAGCACCTTCCAAAATTAGTCTTTTTTGGGCTCTGTCAATTCAAGAAAACAAGGTGAAGCTGGCCAAACAGGCTGCTTTAAACTAAGAAGCTCTGATATCTGGAAGGGGCTCGGAATAGAGCCGCTGCACCTCCAGCTGCAGCTGCTTTACGTCAAGTTTCCAATTTGTGACATCACAAACCGGGACATTTTTAAACGGCTTGTTTAACCAAACCAAAACCAAACACTGACAGAAAACGGATGTGTTTTTCATATTTGGAGTGTTGATAGAGGCGGTAGAGACCCACATGGCAGCACAAAAGGATGCAAAAAGAGAGTTTTGTATAATATGTTGATTATAATCGAAGCTATTTGGAATGTTTAATTTTTAAGTGAACCGGAAGTCCTTTTTATCATGTCCTTAAAACGTTCTTGTCATGATCTGCGTCTGCGTCTTCCCTCATGTGTCTCCTTGATTTCTCCATCTGTCTCTAGGTTCTCCTTTTGTGTCTCCTAGCGCCCTCTTGTGTCCTTGTCTATGTCTCCCTCATGTGTCTCCTTGTGTTCCTCATGTGTCCCCAGATCTGCAGCCCCTCTAGCCCCCCCGGTATCCCCCTCCAGGTCCTGTGCTCCCGTGGTCCCCCTTAGTCACGCCCCCGTAGTTTTTCTTTCTGTAGTGTTTTCCTTTAGTTTCAGCTGTTCATCTATTAGTCTCTTTTAGGGTGTTTCTTTCCCCCACCGGTTCTTTAGTTCTCCGTCCTCAGATTATTAGTTAGTTATTTTGCTCTTCTTGTTTTTAGGTTTTGTCTTTAATCTTAGGTCATGTTATTTTTCTTCCTCTTCAACTCACTGCCCTCTCCCTGATTAGTAATTGAGTTCACATGATTTCTCTCCCCACACACCTGCAGCTCATCTCCCTCTCATGCTCCCCAGTGTATAAAACCCTGTCTGTGTCTCAGTGTTTTGTCGGTTCATTGTTTGTGTCAGTCTCGTCTCGTTTGCTCTCTAGCTTCTAGTTCTCTGGTGTTTTTGGATCTCTAGTTATAGTCGTTTGGATTTTTGGTTTTTGGCTTTCTGCCTTCTTGGATTACTCTTAAAAAAAAAGGATTTTTATTTCATCTTCCACCTCTGCCTCATTCATCTGGTTTCTGCATCTTGGGTCCTAAACTTCCTCCTGCCCAACTCGTGACAGTTCTGTGTTACAAATCAGATTAGAACAAAGCCAACGATTCCAAAAAGGCAAATTGTGAAAGCCGGTTTGTTTTCATGCAAATCATTCAAGTCACCAGTTTAGGCCATCTCCTGGGCTTCATCTTCGCATGTCACATGGAACCAATCAGATTACCAGATAAATTAGAGCAAACAGAGTAAAACCCAAACAGAAGGCTTTGTTGTGAAGTTGTGGGAGCTGACAGGTTCAGTAAAAAAGATTTAACCTCCTGGGACCCAAACTTGAATTTGGTGTGATTTCAAAGAAAAACACATCTAGCTATTACAGATTAGTTGACTTAAATTAACAGAAACAAAATTACAAAATCTAAATACAATAAAAATTCAACAAAAATTGTTGTCAAATCTCCTAAAAAAAGAACCCCCCCCCCCCAACATTTTTTTAAGTCAATATCAAGTGTCCATAAATTATGACACAAAAGTCTAAGTAGAAGAGAATACATTTTTAGAGTGCAAGGAGCCAATGTCCACATATGGACACAGGGCCCTAGGAGGTTACATGCGGACAAATTCTTTAATATTTTTGTAATTTGAAAAAAAAAAGTTAGGATACACGTCTGCTTGGCAGAATTTTATATATTGACATTTTAGCCGATTTTCTGACTATCATCAGTTGTGTTTTGTAACCACACCTGCCTTCAGTCATGGCCACTGAATTGTCAGACGTCTTCTGAAATCACAAATCTCAAATAAATATGTGAGTATATACACGAATATTTCATAAAACATTCACAAACAGCCAAAATGCACCTTGACACTACATGAAATTTACTCAACCACTCTTTAGACATGGACAACTTGAGCTTTAAAAACACTTTTAAGCATTATTTGTTTGTTTAATTGTCTGTATAAATTAAAATAATAAGAATTTTAGTTTCCGTCCTCTCACCCATCCTTCCTTGTGATGATCCGTTTCTGTTTTTCTGTGCCGTCCAGTGAACTTGGACACCTTCTCTCTGAAGTAATTAATTAATTCTTCCTTGGTGATGGCGTTTGTTCTGATCCGAGATCTTTTGGAAGATCTGACAAATGAGGAAACCGCTCCAGTCATCTGAAAGAGAAGGCTGTAAGTGTAGAATTGACCCGGATGGTGCGTTATTATAATTTTATTATATTCATGGCTTGATTCTTATACCATTGCTGAACAAACTGCACAGGCTGACAGGAAGAGAGCTCCATGATGATAGCAGGGCAGAGTCTGAAGGGAGTGGGGAACAGAGCTAAAGGCCCAGGAGGGTACATGCAGCAGATTCCTCAAACAGGACAGGGCCACCAGAAGGATTAGACCTGAAATCTGTCAGGTGAGAAGAAAAGAAAAACACAACGAAAGCTCAGGCAATGCATCTGGAGTTGAGCTCAAACAACTCTCATTAAGGTCATATCTGGTATTAAAGCAGTTCCTATAGTTACTAGTGATGCTGACCGTAGGCCATATGATGCTGGAGACTGAGTGTGCAAAGGGAGCAGCACACAAGCTTATGGTCCTGTTCACCCTGAGGACAGTCATGCTCTTCATGGTGAGAAGGAAGAGGATGATGCCACAGAGGGAACGAACGCACTGTTGAGACAAAGCATTATCTTTATCAGATATTAAAGACCAAGTTCACTTGTTTTTTATTTATATATTTGCAGCAGTCTCTACAATAGGATGATCGTCATAGGAATAAAGCTCTGGCGCTCCTGTTCCAGGAAGTAGAAGTTAATCAGAGCAGAAGACGGCAGGATTTGGAGTCTTATTTATGATCTCCTGATATTCAGACAGCTCACCTCTGACTGGCTAACTCTACCACTGACTCCGTTTGTTCTGTAACAATGTTTTCTCTCCGCAAACAACACAAGCCTGAAGGAGTTCTGCCGTGCTGTGGAGTTCCTAATGCTAACGTTAGCTTGTACTAGCCGAGACGTCCTCTGGTGTTTCCTGGACACTAAAACAACAACAGCCTTCCCCATCGTGAGCAGAAGTGGCCGAGTCCATGAATGCTAATTTACAGTGTGACAAAGATCTGTGTGGCTTCTTCTGACCCAGGTGTTTCCTTGTTTATTTTCTATCAGCAGCTAATGTAGGAAATTGGGATAATAGACTATTTTCACATTTAGCCTGTAGGTGAAACTCAGAGTGACCGATTGTGTTTAAAAAAATTACAAGTTAATAGGTTTGTCAGTGAACTTGCTGTTTAAAATTCACTTGTTGCATCATTTTGGGTCTCTACTGCCTCTATAAACACTCTAAACTTGAGAAAACACATCCACCCATTTTTGTCAGTGTTTGGTTTTAGGAGTTATGTGCTTAAAGAGACAGTGTGTAGTTTCTTGGGGCAGTACATACATGCCACAGTAGTTTTACAACCTGTCGGTTGCATCCCCCAGAGACTCAGGCCCGTGCGCTCTGTATCTTAGACCCAATTTTTATGGTTATATTTTACAAAGCCATCAATAGTTTTCAACAACTGGACATCATGTTATTCATTTCAACAACATTTTGATGGATATTTGCAGAGTTTAAAGGTAAAAACTACACATTGTCTCTTTAAAACAAGCCATTTCAAAAAGTCCCCATTTGTGATGTCACAAATGTTTTGTCTTTTACAATAGAACCACCTCTCACATGTAAGAGAGAACGGCTGCTGGAGGAGCAACCGCACTTCTCAGAACCCCGCGTGGATACTGGAGCTTCTCAGTTGATTGGCCCTTTGCACCTACGTCACCTAATCACGTGGGTCCGCCATACTGGATGGCAAAAGCATGTAAACAGTGAGCGACACGAGTAATAAACGAAGGGAAAAGTGGAGCCTGAAATTGATTTTTGTGATCTTTAGCATTTCCTCTACTAGTTCAAGCCCATGTTCAATTATCAGAAGAAGTAGCGCACCTAGATGGGGCTCATAGAGAGCGGTATTTACAAAAGTCAAGTGTTATTAACTAGCTTACGAACGTTAGCTTAAGTTCTCTCTGCAGCTGTTCACCGATGTAAACAAGCTGCCTACTTTGCCTAAGTCCACCCGACTGGATTCATAACATTATGTTATAAACAGCGTTTCACTTTACACCAAAGCTGATTTAAAAATGTCCGGATCCCTACTAGTTTTTGTTGCTGGTGGTGCCACCGCGTGTTCAGCTGCTGCTCTCACACCGGGATGAGACAAGATCTCTCTTAACGGCGACGCTCGTACTAAATAACGTAATTTCAACACATTTAATCATACATTGGAACAATATTGTAATTAATTATTTCGCATTTCACTACAGTGGACAGTACCGCGGTACCGCTCATCCTCCATGGTGAAATATCCATCTATCAGAAGAACGCATCACGTTTGTCCCTGTCCATGTCTTCGTCATGAAATAAATAAACGCTAATCTTACCCGGTAAAAACATGTTTGATGTAAACCTGAGGTCTGCTAGTCAGTTTGATTGATCGCTGCAGTTCATCTCCGTCCTCATTCAGTCTCGATCAACGTTATTTGAAAAAAACAAACAAAAAAAACGAGCTGACCTTGTCTGTGAGTGCAGCCAGCCACGTAGCAAGTTGTTACCATTTTACTGTGAAACCAACTAAATAAAAGCGATAAAAGGCTACAAACAGGCTTGTTTTGACTAGCTTCACCGGAGTTTCAATGTGTGTGAACAGTCTTTTTGCCGTCCATCATGGCGAACGGGACAGTCCCGTGGGTGGCGTGACGTCACGTGCAAAGGGTTAATAGCAGCCTGAGCGGTGGAAGGGTGGGCGTGGCCAGATCCAGCATGTTTTCTTTGACAACGCCTTAACATGGCTCATTCTGGAATGTACTGAAACTGCCAAGTAGCCTGGCAAGCCAGACTAAATAAATGTATTATTTAGTCTGGCCATGCTCCATTGACGGCTCTCGGTTGTGGGGCGGGTTCTACCGTTGTCTTTCAAATGATCTCCGCATTCCACTGGACAATGAATGTGACATACTCTTGCTTCACTCTGTTGCATCATCCCACCCACCAGGCATATAGAGTGGCCTGATTGGCCCACAAAGCGGATAAAGCTCTGTGATTTGTTCACTAAGCAGATAGAGCACTATGATTGGCCCACCATTATGGACCAATCACAGCTCTTTATGTGTTTGAAACCCCTCTAGAGAGCTGTGATTGGCTAGCCAGAGTCCTGGTAGGAGCTGCTGAGGTTCCAATGGAGCATGCCTAGACCATTCTTTGCAAAGCAAGAATTTGGTCTAGTTCACTAGGCTAACTGCCAAGTATAAGATTGCTGAAATTGCTTTATGTGAGAGGGGTTTTGTGCAAATAACTTAATAAATGCATGTTTTTTATCGACCACAGAACTATTATAACTTAAGAAAATGTACAGGTCTCCTTTAGAAACAACAAAATGCATAAAATAAGGAATATTGGGACATTTTTATCCACTTCTTTTTGTCTGTTCTCACTTGTTCCTGGGTGGCCAGGTCACTGACGTCAACATGTCCTCTGTTGTTGTGTTTCTGCAGCAGATTCACAACTTTCATGATCACAATGGAATGATAAATGCAGAAGATGTAATAGGCAAGGGTGGCCGTCAGCAGACTGACCTGCAACAGATAGAGAAACCTTCAGATGTTTCTTCTTTGACAGGTTTGTTAGTTTATCTGTTACAGGTTGTCCCAACCTTTCAGGGTCACTTCGATCATGTTTGTATTGGTGTGTGTGTGTGTGTGTGTGTCCCAATGTCCCATTTTTAAACAAAAATTGCTGAAATAGTTATTTTAGCCTCTTCTAAACTCACATCCAGCCAAGTAGACGGTGTTCTCCAGTGTCCCATCAGCCCTTGCTGTGCAACAGAGGATGCTTGATTACTGAGTTGCAGTAGAGAGAAAAAGAGGAAGAGCAGCTGGTGGAAAGGAAGAGACAACGTGAGAAAACTGGAGAATCTTGAGCGAAACGATCTGCAACATTTAACCTGTTTTCAGTATTTTTAGTTCGTCACCTGGCAGACCATGAAGTACCAGGCCCAGCCAGCAGAACTGGGATACACCCTCGCTGACTGGACTTTGGCTGACAGCAGCAGACCTCTACCGGTGCTCTGCCCGGTGAGCAGGGTCACACTAGAGAACAGGTTTGGTGCTGGGCTGTACAGGGTGAACTGGACCATCAGGGCCACCGTCTGTCTACTCAGCCAACCGCTTGAACGCAGGAGGTCTAGCTTTAAAGCAGATTCAGACCTGCAGAAGAATCAGAAAACCAATGTGACAGTGCTTAGTGTGAAATTAAATATCACAAAATCAAATCATATGCGTGAGTGGCTCTCACTTTGTGTGTCCTAAACCAGCTGTTGACACATTCTGTGAAAAGTGTCACGATCGGGGGATGGTTGGACCCAAGTGCAGGAACCCAGACGACACAGGCAGATGGTGCAATGAAAAAACAAAGTCTTTATTTCTGAGGGGTCAGGTGGTCCTTGGCTCAGGGGGGAAAATGCAGAAGTAAAACAAAACTGAAATAACTCTAAGGAGGCAAACTGGAACCGCGAAACTCAAAACTGGAAACTCGGAAATACGAGAGGCAACAGACACGCAACAGGTGTGACACTCACGCAGACACACGCAACAAACCAACAAACACTGAAACACACACACAGGGCAGTGATCAAGAGATCAGGAGCAGGCGTGTGGGGAGTGAGAGCTGATGGAAGACAGGTGAGACTAACTGACTACATGGGGAGGCAAAACACAGTAGAGAAGGAAACTAAACCATAAAACCTGTAAGACTAACCTAAACCTGTAGGACTAAAGAGATGGAAGAACTAAAGTTAAATAACCAGTGACCTGAAGAGTTACAGAACTAAATATAAGACGTAGAAAACAAAAAATGAAACTGGGAGTCTGGGTGACGGAAATTATTGGGAGTTGTAGAGACTGGAACCACGGGCAGGGGGACTTCTAAAGACACAAGGAGTGAGACAAGAAGGGGAACACAGACACAATGTGACAAAAAGCAGCTCATGTGATCACATGTCCTTATCAGCAAGGGACCGTGGAAAATGTGAAAGTTTAGGGTATACGCTAATAGACTTCACTGCATTATTCCTGAAATAAAAGAAATAAAGTAAAAATAAATAAAAAAGGAAAATGTCACTTTCTACACACATCTCATTTAGGTCAAACTTATTTTATTAATGTCTATACATACATATCTATCTATCTATCTATCTATCTATCTATCTATCTATCTATCGATCTATCGATCTATCGATCGATCGATCGATCGATCGATCTATCGATCGATCGATCGATCGATCGATCGATCGATAGATAGATAGATAGATAGATAGATAGATAGATAGATAGATAGATAGATAGATCGATAGATAGATAGATAGATAGATAGATAGATAGATAGATAGATAGATAGATAGATAGATAGATATAGATAGATATGTATGTATATATATATACATACATATATATATATACATATATATATATACATACATATTTATACACATACATATATATATACACACGTGTGTGTGTGTGTGTGTGTGTGTGTGTGTGTGTGTGTGTGTGTGTGTGTGTGTGTGTGTGTGTGTGTGTGTAAAGCATTTGGGTGTATTTTTGGGAAACAATGCCCTCTACAGGACAGATCACTGTAAAACAGAAAAATGACGACAACTCTTTTGATTATATTAATTGTTATTTGTATAAATTGTCTGTCAGACTGGTGGGTTACCCAAGAAATGTATAAATAATTCAACATACAATGTTATGCCTGAGAATTTGATGTCTTGAAAGCACACTGTCGCTGTAAATAGCTTGCCTAATTCTATTATTTTTATGAGAATTAAAATTGCGAGCGAGTGAACACAAATACTTTTTATCTCACCAGACTCTGAGAGGCGTTGGCTCTTTCCATCTTCTTCATTATAAGTTCACCAATCACAGCGTATGAATGCTGCATAAAATAAAGTGAAGAATTAAAAGGAGATTTAGCTTCAAAATGATTCAATTCATTAAATCTCGCTACAACATTACTGATAGAACAAAAACAAACATTTTGTTTACCTCGGTTATGTTTGATTTGTTGGGAAATAGAAACTCTAGCAGCCTTGTTTGTGTCCACTTCCACCAGTCCTCTTGACTATTTATGGATATAAATTCATGGTTCCTGGTAAAAATACCATAATAAGTGTGTTTTTCTCTGTGTTGGATAAGTGATAATAATCCTTAGCCTGCAGGCGTTACCCTATAACGTGTCGTCTGATGGCGCGGTTTAACTGGTAATGTTCTCTAATTGAGCTGCCATACGTTATACACATCATCAGGTAGAGCAAGGCAGCACAAAAACACAAATCCCTGTGTGACACAAAGAAAAATGTGAATTATTGATTAAAAACATGAACATAGAGACAAAAAAACAAAGACAAACCTGAATGTTTGATGGATGAGATCCTCTCTCCTTCTTTTTGCCCGTGTTTTCCTCACATCTGATGAAGTTGGGGGGCGAACAAGACGGAGGTATCGAGCTCTCTGACGTGCTCGAAGCAGCTGGGAATTTTAAAGTAGGGTTTTTATATTTTACCTTAAAAATATGCAATTTAATAAGCTCTTCATACCCTTTCGATGTGTGAAGATCTTTTCTTGGGTGAATCAGACACCCCGAACTGCTCGTCTAAAGGTTTATTGTGGCTCCTGAACTTCAAAATCTCTTTCTGGAATGTCCTCACAGTGAAAGGGCGGTGAACGTCGGAGTTCTTCTTGTGCCAAAAGGAGACGGCTACTGCTCCTGCAAGTATCTGGAAAATGAAATAAATGGTAAAATTAGAGCATGTTTGATCACATGCATGGATCTTTGGGAGGGTTTTCTTTACCGCAGTTGGCTGGATGAGGAAGATGCAGGAGATCAAAGAGACAAAAAGCGATTGTGTCCACAGCAAAGCCTTGCTGCTGCTGAATCTGATGCAAAGAATAAACACTTTGGTGCGATAATAATAAGAAAAAAAAAACACGGAGAAAGATTCAGACATGATCTACCTCACTCCCAGCACGGTAGAGATCACCACACACAGGAGAGACACCAGCAGACACAGCACCCAGGCCAACCAGCAACACCACAGAGACACCACTCTCAGCACGCTTTTATTTTGAAGGGTGTGACCTTGAACAGTTTTCTTAGATTCAGACTCCCCACTTTCGGTAAAAAGTCCAGCGCCTCTTTTCTTGGGTGTTGGATTGCTGTAAGGTTCTGGTCCCACGCTGCTCTCAGACATCAGAGGACCCCCATAGCTTTTGGCTAATCTTGAATGGAGTATTTCATTTGCGCTTTTATTTTCTAGGATTTGGGACACAGACTGGATATCTGTGTCCTAAAGCACACACAAAAAATAAATCTCACCTGGCATCTGTGAAAAACAGGACTGAGTGGAAAGAAAAACAGATTATGATTGAAAACCTTGTATCTGTCGATCCTGCCTCCCTGGGTCCACGTCTGAAGGTCATCCAATGTCGAATGGGATTCAAATTCTCCGTCCTTTACTGAAAAAGTGTCTGCAAGAAGATCATTTAAACAAATAAAAAAAGTAGTATAATACAAAACAAAAAGAATTCAGAAGTCACAGATTGTGAAAAAATGTGCGTCTGTAATTTCTATCATAGATTCACTTCAGTTGTTACAAAAAGAAAGTAAAAAATTCACATTATATCATTTTAAAGACTTTGCTTGTATAATAGTGCAGAAAACCATCTTTAGCACCTAGAAACCAGCACTAATTCTGGCCCTCACACAGCTGCTACTCCTTTAAGAAGCTCTTCCATCTTCCACTTGTTGCCTTGTTGCTACAAAATTCACCTGTCCACACCTTCAGACAATCACACTCTAATCTCCACCATGGCCAAGACCAGAGAGCCGTTTAAGGGCACCTGAGACAAGATTGTAGACTTGCACAAGACTTGAATGAGCCAATCTACAATAGGCAAGCAACTCGGTGAGAATAGATCAACGGTTGGAGAAATGATTAGAAACTGGGATAAATACAAAGTCTCAGACAGACAATCTCCCTCGACCTGGGGCTCCATAAATGATCTCCCCTCATGGGGTACAAATGATCTTGAGAACAATGAGGGAACAGCCCAGAACTACACGGGGGAACTGCCAATGACTTGAAGGGAGCCTGGACCATGGGAAACAAAGGTTACTGTTAGTAACGCATGTTATCATGGATTCAGATCCTGCTCGGTGCAGACCCATGCAGAGGGAAGAATCATTGCATCCTAGAACACCATGCCCACTGTGAAGCACGGGGTGAAAGCATCATGTTATGGGGCTTCTTTCTGCAAAAAGAACAGGAATACTGAACTGAATGGGGTAAAGGAGTGTCAATGAAAAAAGCATTTCAACGCCTCAATCCAGTAGCGTTTAAAGTCTGTGTTACCAAGTCCAAACCACCATGGCTCTAGAGACGATCTGTGGGGAAGAATGGGCCAAAATACCCGCTACAGTGTGAGCAAACCTGTTGAAGACCTACAGGAAATGACCTCTGTCATTGCCACCCAATGGTGCATTACAGTAGCCTAGTGAACTAGACCAAATTCTTGCTATAAGCACCAGTGGCGAATGTGGCGACCGTAAACACTTACAACTCTTTGCCACACATCAAACAGTCAGTTATAGTTGTAGATTGTATAAGAACAGTGGAAATACATTTCACATAAATAAGTTAGTGCTGAACGAGAATTAAAATGTTTAAAAATGAGTTAATTTTATGATGTTGTAAATGTAGTTAAAACAAAGTACAGAGTACCCTATTGTGTTTTGTTTATCTTGGTGAAATAAATGTGTTCATTGTGATCCCTTTTGAATCTGATGTTGTAAATGGATTTAAGCCACCCTTTGTTCATGTTTTGTCAAAATTGGAGAGAAAGAATAAACCTTCCTGTTGTGAAACTGACATCAGCTCAATGTGTGTCCCTTTTTCTATTCTTTATCACAGACACACGTTATTGAACAGGAAACCAGTTGCCCCTCTGGTCGTCATCTTAGGGAGGCAACAATTCTGGGGGCTCGTCGTTAATACATTTATTTAGTCTGGCTTGCCAGGCTAGCATTACAGGGTAATGAGCTGAACTTTTGCTGTTGCATTTGCTTATTTCTGCAGAATTGTACAAACAATTTCTTTTAAAAAAACATATCATATGATTTCCTGTATTTTTTACATTCTGTCTCTCATGGGCGAAGCGCACCTATGAGGAAAATCACAGGCTTCACATCTTCTTAAGTGGAACAACTTTTTCACTGTAAACACTAGAGAGAAAGAGGAAACGACGTGGCTAAATCATTTTCTCAGTTTTTCTGCAACCTTCAGGTCGGATTGCTGGTCCTGTTGACTTGATCCCACTCAGTCGAAACAGGAAAGACACCACGAATGCTGCAGGCAGCACGACGGCCACACTCAGAAGTCCTGTTGTGATGGAATCGGGCGATATAACCATGATGCCCAAATCAAACGGCAACTGTAAAGAAGAGGAGATAAAGGACAATGCTGTGGGAATGTTATAAAACTGAAGTTCACCAAGTTTTTAGCAGTCACCTGGTCGTCTGTTAGCGACACGATGACTGCGTTGGTGCATACGTATCCCGACAACAGCAGAACACACACGCAGAGCCTTTGAGTGTGTGTGAAGGAGTGTGGAGAGGGGCAGCAGAACACCGACATCCAGATGTGAAAATCAGCCAGGAAATCAGAAAACTTGACAAAAAACACCTTCAAGAGAACACAGAAACATTTAAAAGAGTCATTTTAAAGTAAGGGTCTGTGCGTCTGGTTGTTGTACCTTTGCACAGCTGCTTCGGCGAACACGCAGCATCCTCTCCACCTGGCCGTCACCTCTGTGTGCAGCCAACCAGCTCTCACTCACAAACACCCACGAGCGTCCCTCCACCTGGGTCAAATGTCGTTCAGCTTCGTGGGCAAACTGAAACGAGCAAGCATCGCAATTTTGTCTGACCTCAGATACCACCACTTGTTTAAGGTTCCAGTCAGGAGAAGGTCCAGAGTTGTCGTGCCAGATGTGGACCCCCCACACACGGCCCAGACTGTTCGCTGCACTGGGGAGACCAAATTCTTTCATTTCTTGAGGAAATTCTTTGTTTTTGCTGAGAAAACAAAGCTCAGGAAGGTTTTACCTCAGCAGAAAGGTGTCTTGTGAGTTCCTCCTGAACAGGGTGCATCCTGGGACCTTTAGTTCCTTTGTCTGTGAGGCTCCATGTTCACCACACAGCTTTATGTACACCTGAGCAAGAGAACGTCAGAGTCATCACACCATCATGTGTCCACAGAAGCACAAACAGCTGACTGAAAAGGAACAGGCTTACTTTTGCAGTCATGCAGGCTGCAGAGCAGAGACCCGTGTGGATGCAAACGTTATACAGACACGAGTCTGATGGGTCGTTGTCAGAAAGGTAGTGTGCTCTCCGATTCTCCTCAGAGACGATGTCCTCCCTCTTACACCACACCAGCCCTGGGATGCAGAGGACCAGGAGGAGAATCAGGACACCAAGAACCGTCACATTCCTGGAAACACTGAAGGGTGAAAGAGACGGACAGGGATGAGGATTTAAAAAGCTTTTTTCCCTCAATGATACGAAGACAATTTGTTTTATTATGTATAAAGAGAAGTGAGGGTACCTCAGAAACTGGTCCAGAGCGGCTGTGTCGTGACTGCTCTGGATCTGCTGCTGAGAGACAGTCACTGGCCTCAGATGGTAACAGCTGGATCAAATAAAATACCAAAAACTAAGATGTAAACCACCAAGAACTCTTGATGTTTAACATATTTGCAGTCTCACCTGCAGGTGACTGCCTGCGATGTTTCCGTTTGCTGTGTCCTGCAGCCCTGATGTGTCCAGACTCCCTGCTGTCCATGCCAGGACAAACACAAGCTGCTGCCCACGGTCAGGCTGTAGCTTATCTGGTCGCTCTTATGCTTCCAGCTGGGTACTTTCTCAAAATCTGCATCGAGCAGGGCTAAGTGGCCGACCCCTGCTGCTGGAAATTTAGACAAGAGAAATTACATTTATTGCAGAAACGCTGTTTGAATGGTCTGTATTTGTACAGCACCTTCTAGGGTTCTACAACCCCCCCAAGGCACTTTACAACACAACAAGTCAATCCCTGTTTCTCCGTCCTCCTTCTTCAAATTTGGTATAGAGACGTTTTTGTCATGGTCTGTGTCTGCATCTCCCCTCATGTGTCTCCTTGTGTCCTCCATTCGTTCTCTAGGTGCTCCTTTTGTGTCCTAGCGCCCTCATGTGTCATGTCTGCGTCTTCCTCATGTGTCTTCTGGTTTTCCCCATTTGCCCCTAGATCTCCAGCCCTCTAGGTTTCTCAAGTCATTTCCTTTAGTTACAGCCTTTCATGATTTAGTATGTTTTTTCCCATCAGTGTTTATTATTTTTCTCCCCCCTCCCTTTGAATTGTAGTTAGGTTTCCTGCTCTTTTGTATTAGATTTTATTCTTAGGTCAAGTTAGTTTCTCCCCTGATTAGTCATTGCCTTCACCTGGTCCTCCTCCCACACCCCACACACCTGCAGCTCATCTTCCTCTCATCCTCTCTGTGTATTTAAGCCCTGTCTTGTCTCAGTGTCTTGTCAGTTCATTGTTTGTATTCTGTCAGTCTTGTCTCTCGTCATGGATTATTAGGGTTTTTGGTCTTCTCGTGTTCTCTAGGGTTTGGGGTTTTCTAGATCGTTATCTGGATTTTGGATTTTGGCTCCCAGCCTTTGGACCTATTTTTGTTCTCCTTAAAATTTATTCATCATCTCTGCCTCGTGTCATCCTGGGTACTGCATTTTGGGTCCTACAAACCTCGTATCGTGACAGTTTTTCCCGTTCAGGACTTGCTGGCGATGACTTTTGATTTCGTACCTTTAATATTCAAGATTTTCAACCTTTTCTGCAAAAAAGGCCAGAAAATAGTAAAATGGTAACTTATGTAGACTTCTAGAGTTTTACAGCCCCCCCCCAAGGAGCTTTACAAAAAACAGTCATTCACACACACACTCACAAGCTGGTGGTGATGAGCTACAATGTAGCCGCAGCTCCCTGGGGCGCTCTGACGGAAACAAGACTGCCGTGCACCGGTGCCACCAGTCCCCCCGACCACCACCAGCAGGCGAGGCGTGTGAAGTGTCTTGCCCAGCAAGATGGGCACTCAATTCTGCTGCAGCTATCATCCCAACGCTGTTTAAATGCTAACTGATGGTAATTTGCTTGCTTACTGTATCTACCGGCCTTTAAAACAAGGCTCCGCCCACCTGGTTACTATGACTGGTGTTGGTGGTCGCAGGGACCACCCATGCTTTCTTCAGCACCTTCACTTCCACCAGCGCGTGCTAAGGCAGCTGCGGCTACATTGTAGCTCATCACCACCCGCTTGTGAGTGTGCGTGTGAATGGCTGTTTTGTTGTAAAGTTCCTTGGGGGGCTGTAAAACTCTAGAAGTCGCTACATACGTTACCATTTTACTATTTGCTGGCCTTTTTTTTTTTTTAGCAGGAAAGGTTGAAAATCTTGAAAAACATTAAAGGTATGAAATCAAAAGTCATCGCCAGCAAGTCCTGAATGGGAAAAACATTTCAATACCAAATTTGAAGAAGGACGGAGAAACAGGGATACTTTTTATCAGATACAAGAAGTTGATTTCCTGACTCTTTTACTTGGAAATCAGTGGAAAAACAAACAAAACAGCTAAAATCATAAAAATAAAGTCTTTTACCCGTCAGGTAGGATGGAGGCAGAGTTACGTGCATGCTGTTGCCCTCCCATTGGTGAACCCTCTGCAGGTGGTGCATTCTGGGAGTTGGCCTCTCAAACATCCTAAAACAGAGTCGTGGTTCCATTAGAACGCATTACGACAAAACTGTTTTACTTCAACCAATAACGATTAATTGTGACAGTTTACCTGAAGAGAAGCATGATGGGAAATGCCCTGCAGGACGGCGGTGTGAACACCACCGTCACCTGGATGGCCTGATGTATGTGCTCCGGGTGGATGCTGAAGTTGTGGTAGTTGATGCGGCTGCGTGGGAGGATGAACTCTCTCCCAGAGCTCGTCTAAAGCAGAAACATGATCACATCTGTGCAAATAAATCTCCCAAGAGACGTTTGAAGACTTTTGTGCATCCCTGTGTTCCCAGATTAGAGAGCATTTATAATCCCACCCAAGAGACTTCAAGCAAAAAGTAATCTAAACATACGTTTCTATGTGGATGTTGTAGCTCGACGCTGATTGGCTGAAGAAGGGAGCGAACATGGATTCTTCTGTTGCTGCACTTGTATAAATTAAAATCAACAACCGGTCCTGAAAACTGAACAAAAATAAAGACATAAGAGGGCAGCATTTCCTCTAAATCCCTTAAATCTCACATCCTGCAGCTCTGACTTGTGTAGGAAACAACGCCCAGCTGTAAGGGTTCTGGGACAGTTCAGTCAGAACTGTCAAGATGCAGATGGGCTCCGGTCTTGGATGAGATCTTCCACCGAGGTGACCAAACACCATCTCGATGAGAGACGCGGGCAAGTAGACGGTGGTGGAGTTGGTCCTGATGATGGTGGAGGTGTGGTTTAGGGATGAAGCGTGCAAACGGATTAAACCAGAGCTGACTGTGATCTCTGGAGACTCCTGGGATAAAATACGTCTCTAGAAACAAAAACGAGAAGAAAGTCACAACACAACTAATGTGAAAAGAAAAATGATATATATACTTTATTTCGCTCTCACCAGAACCAATTTTGAAGCCGTGTGTAAAATATCATCAACGAGCTGTTTTATAGGAATGGATCCTTCCTGTTTGAGGTGATTTGCTGAACCTGTCATACAGCCGCCTCCAGTCCTAGTCTGGCTTTGGTTGGTGGGTGATTCTGGCTCCATGTTTGGTGTTTTAGGAGTGAAATCCCAGCTGGTGACCACCTGAAGGCTATGTGAAATCAAGCTGACCAGACCATAGAGCATCCTCTGGTCAGGATGGGACCAACCAGGAGTAGAGAACTGTCCTAACACAGCCTGAACGTGTGACATTACTCCTCCTATGCTCTCTAAAGTCACCTAAAGCAGGGTTAAAAAGGGATTTCAATCATTTTTATGTTCCTAAGCAGCCTTTTGTCCATAAAAAAATCAATATAAAACAGAATTGATCTTCTTACCTGACTTGAAACTTGTAGAAGACCATTCAGAATAAAGATGTTGTCCTCTACTGATATCTACAAATAAACAATATAATTCTGTAAATTCTGTAGTGTAATGAATCCAAATCTCTTCATCTAGATCTCTACCCGGTCTCTGATCTCCATCCCACATGTGACACAAATAAGCACATTACGCATGTGCTTCTGAGCATGAGCATCCGCCTCAGCATCACGGCTCAGTCTGTTCAGGATGCTGGAGAGGAGGCTGATGGAGTTACGGATCTCTGCAGAGTTCCCGAGATGCACGAGAGCCGACAAGGTCCTCAGACCGGCTTCTGACCTGGAGACAGTTTAAAATATTGCATTAAATCTTGAGCTTTGGTGTTGCACTGCAAAAATAGATTTTCAAGAAAGTAGAAAAATTATGAAATTACTTTTGGAAATTTCATCTTACTGTTTTGTCTAAAAATAAAAAATATATCTTTTTTCTGTAAAACAGCACTCATGGAAATAAGTAAGGCAGAATGTTTTAAAATATGATCTAATTTTCTTGTTTTGTGTTAAAAAAACTGCCAATGCTGTAAGTAAAAACTGCTTGGCTAGAATTCTTAAAACTAGCAAATGAATACAACATTAGGTTCATTTCCTAGTTTTAAAATTTTTACGGCAATAGCTATTTACTCTGCCACTAGCTAATATAAAGGCTAGCAGTTAGCATTTTCAGTTTGCCAATCGTCAATAAAAAAGCACAAGAGGAAAATTTTGCTTTTCTGTTGGCATCACGGCGGAGCCTGAAAGCAAATGTAAGAGCGTAATGTCTGGAGCAAAGAGCTAAAACCAGAGTGAACATCAGCGCGGTCTACGCTAGTTTGAGGAAGCTCAAGGTGGCTACAAAATCACGGACTGATGGTGACCTGGCTTTGTTGCTACTAGACTTGTAAGTAACAATATTTTTGTCCAAGAGAGTCGATCGTTTTACTTTGTGGTTTATTTTAGTATTAGCTAGTTCACGTTAGCTTTAGCTCATTGTTAGCGCTAGCTACAGCGGGCTATGACAGGATTGTTTTCGACAGTTGTAATTCTGCTTTCAACCAGTAAGAGGGAAAATGCAGAAAAGTCATTGTTGCTTTAAGTAGTGCTGTTTTGCAGATAAGAAAATGTTTCTGTTTAGACTAAAAATAAGATAAATGTCTAAACATAAAGCTTTTATTTTCTTGAAAAATCTGTTTTTGCAGTGTGGTGTGAATCGTGCTGTCATGGGCTGCTTCTTTAAATGTTTAGTCTTCCTTTAAAATAAACTTGATATATTCATCGACCATATTTCTGGTACTGAAACCAACAATTAGCCCGTGAACTTGAGATCATTTTGAACCATAGTCATAACCGTAGTACGATAAGAGTCTCTTACAGCTTCAGATCAGGATTGGAATGAGATGGTGAAGAAGAGGAAGGGCCTCTGATGAAGCTTGGTTTGACCTGGACGGTAATGGGACAGGGTTTGGTGGCTGATCCATGTATTCCTCTTCTGATCTCAGTATAAATTGTGACTATAGAAACAACAATAAACAAATGTATTCAATTAGATAAGAAAATATTATTTCAAACATAATTGCATCTATTTTTTCTGTGTGTGTGTGTGTGTGTGTGTGTGTGTGTGTGTGTGTGTGTGTGTGTGTGTGTGTGTGTGTGTGTGTGTGTGTGTGTGTGTGTGTGTGTGTGTGTGTGTGTGTGTGTGTGTTTACCTTTAAAATCATCACTGGGATCACCTGAAGGAAGGCAGAAGTAGTACTGGAAGTCTCTGCCCTGGTACAGAACCCTGGGGGGTTGGTCTCCTACACTGAAGCTGTACTTGTACATTAAGTCCTTAATAACACACAAACATAAATAAATAATACGAGGATGGATGTAAAATGATCTGATTAGTTGAGTTACCAGCTGTTTTCATGACAAACCTCCTGTCCTGAGGTGCAGAAGATGCTGAAGTGTGTGTTTAACTCCATCCCTTCAGCAGGCTGCACCTGACACGTCAGGCCCTCAGGAACGGGTCTAGTCCGCAAGAACAGCTGAGTCCGACCAAGAAGCGTGTTCTGAAACTCTAGTTTTATCAGATAAAGTCAGAGAAGATTAATAACAAACTGCAATCATGCGATTTTAAAAGGAAACTCATCAAACGGAGAGAAAAGGAAACTGAACGCTCTATTCTGTTTTTTCCATCAGAGTTTTAAACTTACTGGCAGAAACATCTAACATGTACATGCTTTTTGGCCTCAGGCTGAAGGGTTTGAATTTGAGTAAAGAAGAGGCGATGCCTGGAAAACAGAAAAATAAGTCAAAGTGTAGCTGAACAGAGGTGGACACGTTGCTGAAACGTGTGACGGTGGCACCTGTGTAGGTGTACGACTCGAAGAGGACTCCGTCTACGGCGTCTCGGTGCAGGCCCAGCACAGTAGGCTTTTGAATCACCGCTGAAGGTTTGGGATCCAACAGATTACTCCCCTCATCTGGGATTAAAGCTGGGGCAAACTCAAACTCCTCTCCTGGGGTTGACTGCTCATTGTTTACACCTGAGAAAATGCACAGGTAAATCAACAAGTTTATATTTACTATAAATTCTGCAGTAAATATAGATTTGTACCACCGAGTCTTCCTGCAGACATCCCAGGGTCTGCTTCTTCTACAGGAAACGGGACTTTAAAATCGTCTGGATCTGCAACCGAGCCAGAAGGAATAAGTAAAGCTATTAAATCATCATAAAGCAACTTTGTTTCCTAATTAAGAATCACAAAAAAAGTGCTTTTTTTGTTGATTTTTAGACAAAAACCAGCTCTGGTTCTATTTACCATCTAGGGCTTCACTCTCCAACGAAGGAAAAACATATTCCCAGTCAGCAGATGTTTCAGGATCATCTGGGATTTCACTTATTTGTTCACCAAGGTGCTCTGAGTGTACCCTGTTGTCCTGGTGGATAAATACACCAGTGGAGGGATCGGAGTTTGAGGAATCTGAGTGGAGAGGAAACCTTTAATATAGGTTCATATTTTCTGTGTCGCAGGTTATTTTTAACAACACACCAGCAGGGTTTGTTGTGGTTCCTCCATCGCTGAAATCGGGAAACATTCCAAGAGTCTGAGAAAACGGAGAAGGATTTTCCGCTATGGCAAACGGAGCTCTGAGTTCTGCTGCGTAACAAAACGGGACTGGAAAAAAAAAACAGATGCACGGCCATTTTCCTCCAGTCGTAAACAACAGCCATCAGCTGATTGATTAGTTTACCTTCTGTAGCAGGCTTGGAGGAAGCGTTGACCAGGTGGAGGCTCCACAAGTACTGGACGGATTCTGCAGTAACGTTACAGCCTTCACATGTTGCACTGACAGACAAGAACTGGTCCCAGTTCAGCTGGTCTCCCTGGCACTGGTGGCAGTAAACTGAGACCCTCCTGAATACAAGGGAAAAAAAACAAATATATGTTTTAAATCTGTTGTTTTGTTTACCCATATCTGTACAATTATATGCAGAAGATTTGCTGATTCAGCCTTTTCTTTTTTAGTGTCATTCGTTTTAAAAGTTCATACCCGTTTACGTCAGCCATGATGGTGAGGAAGGTGTCTGAGGAAGATGAACGCTCCCCACTGTGGATGGTGAGCGTTATCTGGAACTGATCAAAGTTGGGTCTCAACAGGCCGATGGGAAATCGGAACTCGGGAGAGGAAGTGGGAACATCTCGACTGAAACAGGAGCTGATGATGCTGGAAACTGGTTGACATCTCCATGTGTAGCTATACAAAACAACAGGAAAAAAAACTCAACACCCATCACCCCCAACACCTCACCTCACCTTGACTTCCTCTGCTTATCCAGGTCCGGGTTGCGGGGGCAGCATCCCAAGTAGGGACCGCAGGCAATCCTCTCCCCGGCCGTGTCCGCCAGCTCCTCAGCAGGAACACCCAGGCGTTTCCTGGACAACCTAGAGATGTATTTCCTCCAGGTGGTCCTGGGTCGACCCGGGGGCCTCCTGCTGGCAGGACATGCCCAAAACACCTCCTGAGGGAGGTGTCCAGGAGGCATCCTGACCAGATGCCCGAACCACCTCAACTGGCTCCTTTCGATGCGGAGGAGCAGCGGCTCCACTCCGAGTCCCTCCCGGATGTCTGAGTCCCTCATCCCTAAGGCTGACCCCGGCCACCCTGTGAAGGAAACTCATTTCGGCCGCTTGTATCCGCAATCTCGTTCTTTCGGTCATCACCCAAAGCTCATACGTGAGGGTTGGGACGTGGTTCAGCTCCCTCCTCACCACAACAGATCGGTTCAGCGTTCGCATCACTGCAGACGCTGCCCCAATCCACCTATCGATCTCCCTCCTTCCCACACTCGTGAACAAGACCCTGAGACACTTAAACTCCTCCACTTAGGGGAGGACCTCTCTCACGACCCGGAGTTGGCAAACCACCCTTTTCCGGTCGAGAACCAGGGCCTCAGATTTGGACCTCCACCATTATCCTACACTCTAAGAAATAAAATGTTAAATTTACTTAATCAGCTCATGCCAGCTGGTTCCATTAAACCCAGTTTCTTAAGTGCAGTGATGGAATGTACTTTACTGTACTTTTCTGTACCTGTTACTTGAGTAATTTTTAAGTACCAATTGTAATTTTTACTTCACTACACTTTTAAGCAATTATCAGTTTCAAAAGGAAAAGTACTTTATTTTGGGTGTTGCCTGACCCCTACCCCACTCTTGTAAGTACATTTGGAAATGCATACTTCAATACTTTTACTTAAGGGGATACTAAGTGGTTTTGCTTGCCTTTAGCACCCCTTAGTGTCCGTTAACAATCCTCTGTGATCAAACCGAAAATGAAACGTATCTCCTCGCTGTGCGTTTGTCTTTTTAACACCTTAATCTAACTGCTGACATGTCTCTCCAGCCTTTAATTAGTTTCTACAGGAGCGATTCATCACTAAGTCAAACAAATCAGCTGTGTTCATGATCTAAATCATGCAGGAAATGTGCTGGAACCAGACTGCAGCACCAGGCATGTCAGCTCAACAGGGAGTGGTCTGCCACACTGAGTTTGCAAATGTGGTATTTTGGCCACAGAGGGCAGCAGAGGTCTGAGTGACATTTATACCTTCATGTCAATTATTTCTTGGATACTTCCACTTTTACTGAAGTTTTTTTTTTTACCTCTTTGTCTAAATCAAGTCTTCCACCACTGCTTAAACGTTAGGAGTAATATTCATTGTTAAACATCGTCAGGTTGAAGTAAATGCATATTTACTAAACCGGGCTAAGTGGAACCAGTTGATATTACTTGGTTAAGTAAATTAAACATTACTTTTTTTGTGTGTGTTTGTAGTGGAGCGTTTTTTGCTTCTCATCAGAAGAGCTTTATCGATTCTATCCAAATGAAAAGTGCAAAGTACTGCGCTTTTAAAATTGCAGTGATTTCTGCTCCTTGGATGAGAAATAAAGAAGTCCAGTTGTCTATGCCTGCCTGAAACCCTCCACACACACAGCCAGGTGTCCCACAGAACGTAGATATTTTCCTACGGTTTGGCCTGCCATCTACATGAAAGTAAAAATAAACCAAAAATTATTCTTTCAAAATCTCTGGCCAAAATGGAGATTTGTGATTTCTCCATTGTCTGCATGTAGTTTTGGGTCTCGCAACGTTACTGCCCACGACAAAAATGCTCTGACATCACATGTGAGGCTTGTTTTCACAAACTCGGTTACTGCTCCGTGTAGACGACCAAACGCAAAGGACAACATTAGAGACGGTTAATGTCCACCACCTAATTAGGCCAAGACCCAATGTTCATTAGGATTCCGCAATTATTTGCTCACTTGTGTACTACGCACGCGAAGCCTTACCGTGCACTTCCTCCAAGTGCACTTCGCTAAGGGCCGTAGGGTGCAGTGTGAGTATTGGGATTAAGTCACTGTTAACATTCAACGAATGATTTTGGTAAAGATGCTGAAGATTTGGAGAACTACTGCCACCTAGAGGCTTGGCATGCCTATGAGCAGGCTTCACAAAGCACTAGATTTTCTTTACAGAAAACAAGGTGGTACAGACTGTTGTGAGCTGGGAGGTGAGCACTCCACACACACCATGACATCACCTGGCTTGTGAGTTCTCTGATTCCAGGAGAGAGAGCAGCAGCTGCAATCAATCAGCTGATCAGTGGGTGGCCTTCATAAGGAGGACGGAGGACACTGCTAAGCCGCCGGATGATTACGCCTTACTGGTAGAGTCCCAGCCACAGTGTTAACTCGATTTTGAACCTTGACTTTGAACTTTGAAACTACAGCTTTTGAACTTTAGAAACATGTTTTTTCGCTAGCGATCTTTTGCTCAGATTTTTTGTTCTCGTTTTGTCTCAGGCTCAGTCATCTTTCCATACACCACCTCCTCGCTGAGAGCTTTTGGATTTACTACCCGACCATATGACGTCTGGACTTCACTCCCGGTTCCCGTCCTCCTCACGGCACTAACTGCTCCCAGCACTTCAGGCTCTCTCTCTCTTCCCCTCCAGTTGTAAAACCTCGCCGATCTTCATCATCCCGGAATACTCGTTCACTCTCCCAGCTCACCCCTCCCTGGAGGTCCTCCACCACGCTACGTCTGTAAGTCCTCCTACCAAACTCATCCTCTACCATACTACAGTATCAATCAAGGACTCACCTCTGTTTCCCTTCCCTCAGACGCTGCTCCCGTTAACCCATTCACTGGATTTCCAGTGCACCCTAAGTTCTAGTTACCAAATAAATCTTTATTTTTTCACATCCTGCTCCAGTGTGTTGATTCTGCATGTCTTGGGTTAAATCATTGCCTCAGATCATGACACAGACCATTATTCCTAGAAGGGCGGGTGAAAATATTCAGCTTTACCGCCATCCGACTAAGTGTGTACATAGCCTTAATCTCCTTATGATACATTCAACCAGCATTGTCTACCTGAGCGGGTCGAGAGGAAAGTCTGAATCGTAAGATGCTCGTCCATCTAGCGTAATCATGGTCTCGCTCTTTTTGTCTATGAAGATGTTGGTGCCACCTTGGATGAAGGCCACTGGAGGACTTGGCATGACCTCAAACCTCACAGTGTGGTTACTGTACACCACACTGCCAATGATCTGAACCTGAGGAGGACAGGGACATCAGTTCTTGTTAAAACTGAGATCCCCAGGTGAAGACACTCTTCCTCTGGTGATGACTCACTCTTGCGATGGCCGTGTAGGTGCCATATTGTAGGAGATGACTCTGCAGCACGATGCTTTGTTCGCGTGTGTTTGTTAGATTCAAAGGAAAGACCAGTCCTGCAGAGTCAAACAAGGTCCATGTGTAGCTGAGGCCTTTGGACGTGTCACAGAGAACGTTTGTCTCAAAGGTCACCCCCAGTCGGACCTCCTCGTATCTCCTCACCTGAATGCAGAAGGGAGGGTTTTTAATTTCTACGACAAAGAACGTTCCAACATTTCAGGCGGTACCTGTAGTCTGAGCGGCCCCATGTTTTTTACTGGTGGAGGCTGACAGGGCCGGTCCACAACGAAGATGTGGCTGCTCAGAGACGCAGAGCTGATGAGGTTGGACACTGTCACCGTGATCGTGAACTCTCCTGATCTGCAGAGGAAAACACATAAAGTTACCTGAGAAGCCATGACATTCAGGTCGCCAGAGGAGAGCGGGACTTTTCATTTCTTGGACCTAAATTATGGAATGGTCTCCCGCTGCTGGTTAGGCTATCTCCGTCACCGGATGTTATGAGGAGTAGATTAAAGACCCATTTCTGTTCTTTGGCTTTTCAACAGGAGTTGGAGGGAGCTGTGCTTATTCTGTGTATTTTATTCTCTTGCTGCTACTGTCTGGATATGTGATGCTTCATTCTTTTTATTAACCCCTCATTATTTGTTTTATTTTCATTTTTCACTGTTTCAATGAAATTGATTTTAACTGTACACTGGTGTGTTTTACTGTATTGTGTAAAGCACTTGATGATCAGTGTTGGGCAAGTTACTTCAAAACTGTAATGCATTATTAATTACTTGTTACCCTCATTTTAAAGTAATTCATTACATTACAATATTACTGATTTTAAAATGTAAGGCATTACACTACTTTTGCATTACTTTAAGTTACTTTCACCAAAACAACTTCAATATGAATCTGGTAATGTGACGCTCAGTGAGCTCATGACATATATGTGGAAAGTGATGTGGTGTCTGAGCTAGGATTGCTGTTAAAATCAGTCAGATATAATAACAGTGCTTTAAAAATCATTGTTTATTAAATAAAAGCAACAACAATCTGTACTCTCAGCACACTGCCATCTTATAGGGCCATCTGAGCAGGGAGTGAGGTGGTGGGGGCTCCAAGCCTATATTTGCCTTGGTCCCCAAAATGCCTTGATACGGCCCTGGATGTGGGACTGACTTCTGGGGTGATCTGATTCTATCACATGTATAAATATTAAATGCTTATATATTATTGCTTTTCACTGGTAAAAATGTGTATTGGGGATAAATCTACCTACTTTTTTTCCCTTTTCAAGCACTTTGTTTTGTTTTCTTGATTTTATTTGAATTATTTCCGGCCCTTTCTCTCTCTAACCTTCCTGCATGCTGCATGTTTTCTCCGTCTTCCAGAAAAACTGTTTCCTAGACTTCCTACTAACTAATCAGCCAAAGGGATCTACTAAACACAAAAAAAAAAATAAAATAAAAAAAAACACTTAATCTGCGCTGCGCTCCAGCAGCAATGAAATGAAATCACTGGGGCACAGATTATGAACTCAGCTGAAAAGTACAAGAAGTACCAGAGAATACGTGCGGATATAAACGATCACAAACAAATGACTTCATTTTGTTGGAGCGATTTTGTGAATATAACAGCGGCCGTGCGCAGGACGCAGCTGGAGTATTTGAGCCATTACCGCTGCGTCCTCTCTGCTCATAGAATGCCCGCAAAGCTGAGTCCATAAATGACGTCATATATGTGGATACTGGATCTTTTTTCAGGTTTCCTGCAATTTGAGTTTTTAGGAAACACACATCTTGATTCTGGGTTTAAAAATGCATTGTAATTACCGCGTTACTGACAATTGTACAGAGTAAATATTACCATTTTCTTTCCCTGTAATGCCTTACATTACCACATTACAGCAAAAAGCAATGCATTACAGTAATTAATTACTTTTGTACCAAGTTACTCCCAACACTGATGATGATGATGATGATGATGATGATGATGATGATGATGATGACATTGTCTCTGGTTTCAGTTAAAAAAAACTTTGACTCACCTGTGGAAGACATGCTGCGCAGTGCTCTGTCCAGATCTGGTCGTTCCATCTCCGAAGCTCCACGAGAAGGTGAGGTCGGTCCCTAAGTCGACGCGACAACCCACGCTGACGGTCTGGTTCTGCACGACCGACACCTGGTGAACCAGTTTGTTGAGCTTCACGGCTCTTTGGATCACCAGCTTCATAGTGTCTGAGGAGATGTTCATCCAACCCCAAGATGCCACTACAACCACATCATAGCTGTGATAAAACAGGACATAAGCTGTTTGATCACATCAAATCATTTATTCTAAATCCTTTATGCAACCCAATCGTGGGCCTCATACCTCCCAGGGTTCTGATATCTTTTAACGATGGTTCTTGAGGTGGTTCTGGTTGATCTGGAGTCTCCAAAATCCCAGAAGAACTCAACGGGATCTCGAATTTCAGCCACAGCTGTGAAGTTTATGTCTGTATTTGTAGGATAGGCTTGCTTTTTTGCATGAATCCTCACAGCTAGCAGAGAAAACAGACATTTTTAGTCAAGATCCAAAAGGTGAAAGGATTCACTGTAATTTATAAAGTATTTAGAATTAGGCCTTGAACATCTCTACCTTTGTCCTCCTGGCTGCAAGCAGCACTCAGCTGGGACGTTGGGTTAATTCGATCTTGAGACGTCCTCTTCCCCTTGACACACATTCTTACACATCTGTCATGTGAAGACAGTCGATTCTGAACCTGCAGCTCCATCACAACTGCCCCGCTGTGGTTGAAGAGCGAAACCGCGGCTGCCTCTGCTGCTGTGGCGAAGCTGCCGTTTCTGCTCAAAAGTGCTGTATTCACCAGCAGAGCCGTAACGTTAAACAACACCGAGCACTTCTGTTTAGTTTGGGCCTCAACGGGATTGTCTAGTAGCAGCTCTCCTGCTGGTTCATGGGGGAGGATTAGGATTCTGCCATCTTGCTGATTAATATGATGATTATCTGTCAGGTTGTCGTGGTTACAGCCTTTCTTTGAAACATCCCCTCCAGTAGTTAGTGGATCGTCAGCTGCATCCGCCTGCATAAAAGTGTAAAAGTGAAAAAGTGTAAATTAAATTAAAAAAAAAACTCAGAGTCTCAGTTAACACTCTAGTAACTTTTATGTCAAAAATAAAAACTTTCACATATTCATCAACCTTTAAATGAATGCCTCTTATGCTGCACCTTCCGCACTGTAACTGCTCGCCCATTTTTCTGATTCTTAAATAAGTTTAGATTAAATTAAAATGTATTTTAATTTGATCTAAACTTATTTGTACTATTCTCGCTACTGGAAAGCACATTGATTTACCTCTATGTACAACTAAAGCCGCCTTGCCTCGTGTTTTAATCAGCCTTAGACTGATGTTGTGAATGAACGATCTTACGGTTTGTTAATATGAATTTTAATAGTTTTAAATGTCCCCAAAAAAAAGGAATTGTTTTCAAAATCACTGTTTTGAAGAGGAACAAGATGAGATTTCATACTTTCCCTGTTATTAAAAAATGAATACGCTTAAAATGTTCAGTAATCAATTGTTATTATTTGGTTAATCAATTATATGTTGATTTTTATTTAAAAATTCTTACAAAATAGAATTTAGTAAAAAATAATTTTCAAATTATTTTTTGCCATCATACGTATAAAATACATTAAAATAATCATTTTTGCAATAATAACTTCATGTTTTTACATTAGTACGACATTTTTACCCGAGTTTTGGAAAATGATAGATTTAACACAAATAACCTCATTAAATGTTACTAAACAAATTAAAAAGCTGCGAGAAAACCTCACATGTGTCTGCAGTGAGACGCCCAGGTACACTGGCTCCGCAGGTGAGCTGTCAGAGGGAAGGAGCTCTAATCCACCCTGAGGAAGCTGTGAGATGGAGAGGTGGAGGGTGGAGGGGGCGTGGGAGACTTGGACATCTGAGGAGAAAACAAAAACAGGAGATTGTGTTTGTTCTCATCTGTCCACTTAGTTTAAACACATTTAAAGACTCAATGATTTTATATTTGCCAGGAGTTTCCAACATCCGATCAGGCGACATGCTGAAGGAATCGTCATCCGACACTTTGACACGGTGTGAACTTTGACCTTTGGAAGTAGTTTCCAGGAATTCCACAGTGACGTATGTGGGGCTCTCCTTTAAACCCCAGTTACTCAAAGAAGATGTGATTTTTGTTTTCAATGACTGTAAATATTCATTTTTCTTCATTTCCACTCATGAATTTATATTTGTCAGTAAAAAGAATCAAAATAACTTCCACAAAATGTATTTATTATTTCAAAAATAATAACATATAAAATATTACACATATGCAACATAGCTAATTATTTGTTTTCTTTATTAATGTTATTTAATACAGTAATGTTTGAATTTATCTGAATGAAGCTGCAATGAAGCAAATGCAGAATAAATATTTAAGTCAATATTCTAACTAGCTAATTAAAAAAATTCAGTGAATTTTCTTTTTTGTGTGTGTGTTTTCGTTTTTTTGCAGAAAAAGAGGTGTGAAAAGATGTGTGAAAGTAGTCAGATCTCATCAATGAATGATAATCAATGAATTACAACATTTTCTGTTAAATATTAACTCTGAGGAAATTGTGGCTTAATTTGACCTTTGTGGTGCATTTATAAAAATCCTGCAAAAATGGCTAAGTTTCATTTTACAACCACACCTGAGTGTTAAAATAATGTTTATATTATGCAACAGATGAAATAAAATCCCAAGAATGAATTAAAACAGAGACTAGTTCAATTATTTTATAGGTCAGAAAGTTAAAAGTAGCTGACCTGTGAGCTGTGGTGCAGCCAGGTTCCCTGGCACTTTCACTCCAAACGTTCTCCCTGCCTGATCTGGAGTCAGCGACACGCTGATGTTCAGAAGCAAAGGTCCCTCAGATCTGATGAGAGCCACGGTCTCCTCCTCTTTATCACTGCAGTTAAAGGGGCATGAGGTGTTACTTCAAAGGAGGAAGCAGATAACAGAACTTCTTCTCACCTTTGTGCTCTCCTTCCTCTTTTCACATCTACTGTTTCTTCACTCAGAGACATGTTGAAACAGTCACAGACCACCAGAGCATGAAGCTGGTTTCCACAGTAACAAGTCTCTGGAGAAGATGCTGCAAAGCGGTACCTGAAACAAAGAAATTAGAAGCAGGATGTATGATCTGAATATTTGATTTGATGCACAAAGGATCATTTAAAAAATTAATTGCAAATAAATAAACAAAGCAGGAATTAATATTTTTAACCTATATTAAGTTTTGGTGTTTTTTTGGTTAAATTATTTTCTTTCTCAAAATGTGTTATTTAGCATGGGTTTAAATAAAAATGCAATTTTTAACTTTTAAAAATCAAAAATTTTAAATGAAAATCCCCCCCCCCCTTTTTTTAGCAAACATGTCATCTTTTTTTATTTTCTCTAGACAAACTCACCCGTCTTCCTTACACAGAGCTGAGCAGCTCGCTGAGTCAAGGTGTTTGGGTTCAAAACTCTTGATGGAGCTCGGCTTGACGCACCCGAGGAACCAGGGGGAAGAGGAAGAAGAGGACGCCGCGCAGAGATGATGAAAACACGGGAGGAGGGTGATCAGAACCAGCGCGTGCCGCATGTCTGCCCGCAGGAGCTGTTCTCTGGACCGAATGGACCGCAGAGAACCAGGTGAATGGGACAAGATGGGGACAAAGGTAGGACCGTGTGTAAACGAGGAGGGTGGAGGAGGGAGGAGGTTTTACTGCCCAGGGGTCACACAGGAAACTAAAAAATGGCCTTTTGATTAGAGGTAATTTGGTGGAAATAAAGTCATTTGAAAACCAAAAACGATTCTTTTTTAATCTAAATGCACAGAATAACAACAGAGGAGGCAGGTTTTATTCTAATAAATCAAAAAATAAAAATGCTGGTTGTCTTTTGTTTCATTAAGGAGTTATATTCTAGATTAAGAATCATTTTTATTAGAAGACAGTCCGAACATAACATTAAATAACCTTAATAAGCGGAAAATAAAACCTGTATTTCAGCCATTTTTATATTATTTGCAGCTCACAATGATTTTATTGAACCAAGAGGTACCTTAAACTGAGATCTACATAAAATAACATCAATGTTAGCATACGTTCTAGCATATGTTCTTTTTGACTTGTTTTCTTCTTCATTTGGTCAAGAAAAACTCCAGAAAAGACTTATAACACAAATAGGAACACATCATATTGTCAAATCTTGCGATTATTAAACAGAAACGAGACGATGTTATGTGTGACATTAAATTTCTTCTTGAAAGTAAGTTCATGGTGAGTAAAAATCGCAATAAAACCGGATCGGAACCAGCTCGGGTCATCAAATGAATCCAACTTGCCCCGTGAGCCCCTTTGCTGGCGAACAGCAGCTAACTCCTCCGGTCCACCTTAAAAGCTCTTCCGGTTTTCACGACATCCCCTTTAAGAGGAAGCCTCCTGTTCTCCTAGCGGCCGGCAGGAGGCGCTGTGAGACCACCACATCTCTACAGGAGTCTCTCTGCAAACCGAGACAATAAAAAAGAGGCACGGAAACAGATTCAAATCCGTCGCCTCTCTTCGTATTTAGCTAATTTAGTCACTTTTGATCCGTTTTAGGAGTGAGGGCGTCCTTAGATGTTTCCTCTGTTTAAACACAGAGTGAGACGTCACGATATCACCCTGAACCACACTAGTCACGTCTGGTGTTTTTAATGATTTACATTTAATAATCAATGTAGGCATCCGTTTAAATGTCAACTTTATATATTAATATATATATAAAATATATTAATATAATCTTTTTCTAACAGGATTATAAACATAAACCCGCTTCGCTTTCAGGAAGGAGTGGGTGACCTTCTGTGGCTTTGGCGCGTGCTCAGTGTTCAGTGCGCGCGCGCTAAGATTCAATCAACGAGTAAAACGGAGTGAACGAAATCCTGATAAAGCAGCTGCCAGCTCTGAGTTAGTCACAGCAAACGTTGTGTAAGCCTCCCATCGGGAAAAACACCAGCAACCCGGCTGGGACCGGTGGGTCTGGGTCCAGCTTACGGGTCTGAAGAGGCTTAAGGTGTTGAAAAGATACATTTGGCAACTAAAACACCCTCTCTAAAGTCTTCTCGCATCTAGATCCGTTTATTTTCATCATACTTTTACCAACAAAATCGGAGGAAATTGTTAAATAATTTGACCCCCAAAATGACCTAAAACTGGAAAAGTCTGATTATAAATGTTCCTCTCCCCTCACATTTAGACTGTCAGAGTTGTAAGAACGTCACCAACATGGCTTTTAAATAATAACAAGAATTTAAAAAGTTTCACTAATAACTCAAAAAACAGATTGTGGACAGACCTGCTGGTTTAGTCACATCATGTAAACTTTTCTCAACCAGTTTCATCATAAAATTCTCACGAGAATATTAAAATACACAGAAATCAAACTGGAGATAGAAGTGTGTTTGTTCTTTGAAAAAATCTGTTGTTTGTGAGAAGAGCACTGAAATCACATGAACCCACTCTCTCTTTTAGTCAGCACATGTGAAAATTAATAGTGCGAATTAATAATTCCAAAAAGCAGGAAGCCAAGACAAAAATCAGGTAAAAAAACTCAAAAGTATCAAAAGAACTAGGAAGAAGGTTGATGTCATTTACATTTTTCTCTTCTTATGTCTGATTTTACACACGTACTTGTGAATGGGACGTTTCACAACTAAAAAATAAAATAATTGGATGTTTTGTGTAAAATGTCATCAAGTCCTGTGCTTAATTATACATTAGGACTCTTATTGATTAACTAATCACTTGGATTTGCTTGAGGACGATTTCAAGATCACGTGTTGCTCTCAGCTCCCAAAGAGGATTTTGCAGAACTAAATTTGTGATGCTTGTTTTTTTTTCACCCATGCACAAAGTTTAACCTGCAGGGAAATGATTAACCCCACAAAACGTTCAAGACAAACTTTAGTTGTAAAACAGAAATAGGTTCATTTAAAGACACATATTTGTTGAGTTTTTCAGACACCAAATGCAGCTTTGTGTCACTCGAATCCCCTCTCTGCGCTAAAACGTCAACGCTCTTTGTCCTGCATCATAAGAAGGGGGATAGCAAGGCTCCAGTTTCACAGCAAACAGATTCAAACCAAATTATAATCAAGGAAGCGGCGAAAAATGTAGATCTTATCGGAGCTGGGACAGAGCGGATTTGTGTTTGGCTGGAGGGGAAAATCAAAACTCAGCTGTGAAATTGTTGAAAATAATCATTTAGAGAGTTTAGAATAAAGATAAACTTGATATTTTCACTAATATAAGTCAGATAATAATTCTAAATTTAAACAATCACAACTTCTGTTATGTTCAATTTGTTGGATGATGGATTTTGCAGTGAAAAATATAAAAAAAAGACCTAGTCAGCGTCAGAAAAATGTCAGATTATTTTTCTGTGGTTCATTTGAATGAAATTTACTTTAAGAGCTGAAAAATGGCAGAAAATTTCACTCAAATCTGCTTGTGACACCGCATGTCTGCAGCCTGCATGCCTGTCGATGAAGGTTGACTAAACTATTTCATTTTAAATTCAAGACATTTAAATTACAGCTCTTATGCTGTGTCATATGGTGTGTGTGTGTGTGTGTGTGTGTGTGTGTGTGTGTGTGTGTGTGTGTGTGTGTGTGGCTTTGATTCAGCCCTTTCAGCCTCAGCTCCTTGTCCTATAACTCCCTGGTATGAGGGGTCAAAGGTCACTGCGGCTTGTGGCCGTGTTCGAATCCGTCTATAGTGTGTAAAGTTCCCATCTGGCCGTCGCTTAAAGTGAAAAAATAAAAGATGAAGTGCATTTCACAACCTGCACCGGATTTTTAGGTCCATTGGCAAGAATTAAACTTTGGTTCATTTTATAAAAAAATAAATATTCTAAACTGCAGCTTAAAAATCAATAAACCTGTAAATGTCGTTTTGACGTGGATTCATTTGATTTGTTTTGCAACCATGTGGTGGAAAATAACTCATAATCAAACTTGAAACTCTTTAATTATTGGTCAACTATCCAAATTATAGTAGAAAAATCAACCTGACAAAATATTTTCTATTAAATTCATACATTTTTAAAATATATTTGTCCAACTTTTTATAAAAAATATATTTTTCTGTTGGCTATTTATGTGATGTTAAATTTTTCTTGTCACATTTGAAATAAAATTCAATGAAATATAAAATAAGGACTCAACGTGATTAAAATTCAGATTTATCTTAATTTAATAAAAACTCAAACTGTGTGTTTGAGTGGCTGTAAAATTACAACTTTGATTGTAAAATCGTTGCTCGTCTTAAAACAGACCTAAAGCTGAGAGTTTTTTGCTGCCTCTTTTCTCTTAACCTGATTAAAATGTTTTAGAAGTCCTTCTCAGTAATCTGGCTCTGTCTCCAGAAAAGCTTTTTACAAATGCAGTTGAGCTCCATGACTGGACTGAATCCCCCTGGCTGCTTTTCCCTTCTCCAGCCACCCCCTCCTGAATCCCCAGAGCAGCTTTTCTGCGCTCTATTGGCGTCAAACGCAACTTTATTTAAATACCTATGTGCCAAAACACATCTTAAAATCTAATTTAAATATTATTAATGCAAAAACATTTTAATTTCATTTACTCTTAGAAACTATAAAATAAACAATTCAAATGTATTTTATAAATTATGACAAATGTTCATCATCTCAGTCTGAGTTACTTAAACAATAAAAACTTTAATCTAATATTTTAATTTAATGTGGTTCCAGGAGCGGAGCTTCTCCCCATCTGCTGCGGGCTCATGCCGCCGACCCTCCTGCTGACCTCGGATCTGTTCATGAGGGACTCCGCCGCCTCTCCTCCTCCTCCCCCTCTTTGGTAACAATGAAATTAGTTCAGGGTGAGCATTAATGGAGGGGCGAATCAAACCGGGAGCTGCGTGATCAGATTACAGATTACACCGGAAAGAGTGGATGGACAATCCGGCAGATTAAAACTTCAATAAAACACGTTAAGTTCCTACTTTTTATTAAGTGCATTACAGTACATGAATACATAAAATCTTGAATATTTTTGGTCTCTTGCTGGATTGCGTTGCTCTAATTGTGAAAATCTGGTTTTTCTTTGGTAAACACAAAATCGCCCAATAATCTGGGTAAATCTTATATATATGCGCTTTTAAACGCTTGACAAAAAGCAGAAACATCACATAATCCAAGATTTTCATTAGATTACATGTTTATCATCACAAATGTATTAATGCAAATTGTATTGTAATTGTTTTGCACGCGCTGCAGGTTTTCAAACGCTCAGTCTGCACAGACATGCAGCTTTTCCCATTTTTGTACAAATTTAAATGCATAATTTTTTCTTTTGCGCACTTTCCATCCTGTTCTGTTTTCTAGATAACAGAAGACGTGCAGCCGAGAGATCTCACATAAAAACGTCCTGCAGAACAGCTTTTATCGGCCCTCATAATTGTCTCAGAGATCAATGCGAAGTGCTCATCCCTAACGTGCACGTGTCATCTTCTTCCCCCTTCTCCAAGCACGCAATCAGAGACTAATACTCCCAATTTCTTCAAATGCTTTAACGTGTTTTCTTCTTTCTACTGTGATTCTATGGAAGTTACAGTCTGCTGGTTCCCAATCCGCGTAGGAATTCCACCCAGCAGCAGCATAATGGCTTGTCTCAGCAGTGTGGCCCCTGCAGGCTCCAGGGCCATGCAGAAAACCTGCAAACCCCCCTCCTTCCCTGCAACATTCCCCATCGACCTCAGCGCTAGCCTGGATTTAACGCTGAGAAGAAGCTTTAAATTGCCGAAAAATATTCAAAAAACACATTTCTGACTTGCAGTTAAGCACGAAGAACCACGTTTCCTCCTGCTTATCTTTAAAAATAAATATATTGTGGTTTTCTGTTTGTGTTATGCAGGATGCAGCTGTTTAATCATCTTCAACTTTTTTTTTTTTACAGAAAATGCATCTTTAATGGTGTCACTTGCTGTTCAAATGTAATAGAAAATGCTGAGAGCATCCAATTGAGATTGAATACTCCCCAGCATCTCATGAATAACAAGTATTCAAAAACAAACCCAAACATGTCCAAAGAACGAGAAACAGTCTGACAATTACACTCAGTCCCGTTTAATGAAAGTTTCAAAAAGAAAAGAAAACTAACAAAAAAGCAACATAAAGGGAAAGTGCTTCAGAAAACCACCGTTCAAGTTTCCAGTTCGAGTGCAGTTGTCCATTTTCACAACAATAATTCAAAAATACCATCAAAATTCACAAAAATAAATACTCAGTTCTATATAAACAGCCAGTGACGTCATACTCAAAAACCTCAAGTATCCAAAACATTAAAGAAAAACTGAAGAGGATGTGAGAGGAAGAGGAGGAACTGGATGTTTGTCATGACAATTGAATCGTGACGTCACCACCTGCACCTTCGCAGGTTGGTGCGTCAGGCGGCTTTTCAGGCCGTTCCTCTCGGTTCTGCACTGTGCATCCCTGTTCCCGTAATGTAGACATGCGGATTAAATATAAAGCTTCTACCCCCCCCCCCCCCCCCGGGTTTACTGCAAAGCACTCGAGATTTGCGCCACGTGGAGTCCAAAGTACGCGCAACTGAGAAAGTTCCAGCTTTAAGGAGTAAGGCCTATTGGTGCAGATGGAGCTGCAAAAATATAGATGCATGATTTACTTTTCCCTTTTTTAATTCTACAATCAGGCATTCTGCAACCCTCCGAGCGCGCGTGCTCGTGGGGGAGGCATCACTCACGGACTTTGGGTGTGCTGTGATTCGGGCTGCTGCATGGGCCTCTCTTTGCGACCGACAGAAAGGCTGCGAGCCAATTAGCAGAGCCGTGAGACAACGTGGACACGTTCACTTAAAAAATCAAAATAAACCTGCATGGAGGCGCAAAAAGCTGCATGAAAAAAAAAGCTACATTCAGGATGCATTTCACACATTTCACATCAATCTGTTGGTTCTTGATGAGGAAAAACATAAATTGCAATTAGTTTTGTATCTCAAAAACTGGACTTTTAAAATAAAATAAAGGGATTTGTAAACAGTTCGCTAGAACAAAAGGCGCAAAACAGTCTCAAAGTGCAATGCGTTTGCGCCCTTTCGTGTTTTTCCCAGACAAATTGGTTACAAAGTACTGTTTTGCGTTTTTCCTCCACGCGTTTGTGTTCCAAACGCACACACACACACACACACACTCACCCCCGCACACACATGATGCTGCAGAGAGGAAACCGGCGGCCAAGTGGGATATTTGGAGATTTTGAGCCTTTCTTCTCGTTTTTGATTGTCTGTAGGTGCACAAGGCTGGTGTGTGCTGCGTTTGGGCTCTCCCCCTCCCCTCCCCTCCCCTCCCCATGCCATTTAATAACAAAACACCCCCAAAAGAAACCACAACAAGCAGAACTCAACCCCTTTTCACCCAAGGAATTCTATTCAAATCATCACAGTACATTTTGGGCACCGATTTGGCCACAACAGCGCTGATTCATAAAATATAACAGAGTGGGGGGGGGGGGGGGGGGGGGGGACGACCCTGAATCTTCTTTGTTTATAATTATTTACAATCAAATAATCCCTGCCAGATTAAATGTCCATCAGAAAACAGTTTTAGTTGTTTTTGTTTACCACGGGTCAGGAATTATAGGGAAAAAGGAAAATAGTCAAAAACACAAAATTTAGAAAAGCAAAACATATTGCTTAGAGAATTTGTAGCTTATTTAAAGGTTCTAGGGGTTAATCCATGTGTCACGTGATGTTTTCTTTGATTAAACGTTTTAAAATGCGGAATGTAAATCCAGAAAGGTAGGAAAATGGTGGAAATAAAAGAAACAATCTCTCTCTCTCTCTTCAGTATTTCCTCGTCCTCTGAGCATGTAGTGGGGGAGGGAGAATCGGTCCGCCTGGCTGCCACCTCCACACGGGGTGGGACGGAGGGGGAGGCCCGGGGCCCCTCAGAGAGTTCAGGGAGTAAGCGGGGCACAAATCCCCGTCGCTGTCGACAACGAGCGACGGTGGATCTGGGAAGTTTGCCATCAGGCTGAAAGGCGTTTTTGCGGGAGATGCTACAGTGGTGCGTTTGCGTCTGCTCGGTAAATCCTCCGTCTCCTCGCAGCCCGCTGAACGAGAGGAGGAGGCAGGGGAGGAAGAGGCGGCCTTGGTAGCGACTTTGGGCGCGTTTGGCTTGGATTTTGCTCTGGAAATTCTGGGTTTTTTCCCCCTCAGCACCGGAGTCCTGATGTTTCTGTGCATCTGCTGCCCCTCCTCCTCCTGCGGGGTGCTGCTCCTGCATGTCTGGGGTCCAGGGGACCTGGGGGCACTTTTCTCTACGCTGCTGTCCCCCTTATCTCTTTTACATTTCACCACACATGCCTGGTACTCGTACTCATCCCAGCTCTCCTCTACTTTAACTTTCACATTGTGGAGGCTGAAGGGAGGCGTCCTGGTGCTCCTGCTATCCGGTAGGGGGGTCACGGGGGCCTCCTCTGACTCGGTTTTTATTCTTTTCGTGGGAGTGCTGACTCTCGGGCAGGTGGCACTCACTTCCCCTTTGTCTACACATTTCTGCGGCTTACAGTCAAGTCCCGGCATCCTGCATGGCAGGGGTGAGGCCTCCAAGTCCTCCTTGGTCCGGTTCGGATGAACCACACACAACTTCCCCCCCGCAGAGGAGTTTAATTCGAAGGCAGGTCCCGCGTCCTTGCTTGTCTCCGTGCGTAAAAAGTCACATTTCAGATGTTTGGTGTCTCTGAATGCGGGGGCAGCACCCAGAGGTCTGTGCGGGTTGTCCTGCTGCTGCTGGTTGTTGTAGTGAAATGTGGGCTGCAGGACCAAATGTGCTTTAGGTGTGCTGAGACCAACACGCGCCCGCCGGAACCGGATGCTTTGGACCGATACGCGGCTTGAAACGGAGCTGGAGTCGGATTGAGATGAGCTCTCCTCCTCTTCTTCCTCCTCCTCCTCTTCCTCCGTGCTGACCTCTGAACTTTCCGTGTCATCTTCCTCTTCCGAGCTGCTGCTGGTGGAGAATCCGGAGCCGAAGTCGGAGTCCCGGTCCGAGTAGGTGCTGGACTCGGTGTCGCTGCTGTAGCTCTCCGTGAAGCCGGACCCGTGATGGTGGTGGTGATGATGGTGGTGGTGGTGATGGTGGTGGTGGTAGATATCCGGACTGAGGTGGAAAGCCCCGAAAGACGTGGCGTGAGCATTGGCGGATTTCGGCTGTAGGAGCAGCACTGGCGGTGCGTGCAGATGCGCGTGTCTGCTCCTGCACGAGGGGTGCCTCGCGCCGTCCCTGCCGCCGCCCACCTCGCGCCTCCTCTTTCTTTTGTGAAGGAAGTCGGGCTGGAACAGCAGTGGCTGCCGGAAAAACGGGTGCCTTTGGCTCAGAGCGACGCAGCTCCCTGCGATTTTCTCAGTTTCATAGTTTTTAAAGTGTTTGTGGCCTGACCGGGTCGCGGATCGGTAAATCCGCGCGTTCGCTTTGTGGTAAAATTGAGGTAGTTTTGAGTCGGTAAGGCAAGGAGTCAACTCTTTCCTCCTGACAGCCTTGTGACGCACGAGAGTCTCCGGGACTCCGTGCAAACTGAACCAAACTTTTTCATCCCACACCTCGGCCTCCTCCTCCTCTTCTTCCTCTTGCTCATCGTCTTCCCCAGGGGGATACGTCGCTCTCGCTTTCCTCCTGCTGGACTTCAACACCCTCTCCGTCTTGCAGGAGAAATACAGAGCCTCCACGTCCTCGCGCGAGATGAGCGTGCACTTGGCTGCGTGAAAGGCGATGGAGTTTATTGCTTTGAGCTTCCGCAGCTCCTCCAGGTCACACTGGTGCTTCTTCACCTTCAGGTGGTCCATGCGCTTGTGCACCGTGGTTCGGGGGATGTTCTGGAGCAGGTCGGTGAAAACCTGAGACAATGCAAACATTTGCTTGCCTTTGATCAGCAGGTATCCCAGCCGCACGCCTTGCATCTCCTCAAACCCGCACTCCAGGTCTCCCATGTTTGTAATGCGTCCACTCTCGGCACCGGCAAAATGGCACAGGGGGTCGCGAGCTCAAGGCATCCTGCTCACACCTTTAATCCACCCGCTGCTGCGTCATGAAAACTTTGACTTAAATGGAGAGGCTGCCCCGCTCTGATAAAGAGCAGACAGCATCCGCTCCTCGCCTCTCGCCCCGGTCCGGCATGGTGGAGGAATGCGTCCGGGGCTGCTGCTGCTGCTGCTACCTGCCTCTGCCGGCTCCACTCCCCCTCTGGTCAGCAGTAGGACGGAGGGGTAGGTGTACACCGCTGCCTCAACCAGAGGAATAAAATAGCAAGAAGAGGGGAGGGAGAGAGAGAGAGAGAGAGAGAGAGAGAGAGAGAGAGAGAGAGAGAGAGAGAGAGAGAGAGAGGGTGGAGAGGGAGGGAGGAAAGAGTGAATCTGAGACAGGGAGAAACCGAGAGAGCTGAAAAAGCAGCTGCTTTTCCTGCTGCTGGCTGAGCCACACATAAAAAGACAAGAGAAAGAGGAGGTCTGGAGACACCTTCATCAATTAATGCCCTCGGTGGACGCCTATTGGATGCCGCTGACAGGTGATGCAACAAAAATGGATATTCCACCCCGCCCCCGTCCACACACCCCTGCCATTACACCAGCTTACTATTGTGCCCGCAGTCTGTTAGAGCCCCCCCCCCCCCCCCCAAAAAAAAACGACATTGCAAACAATAAAACAGGGTTCCTTAAGTTTTTTTTACAGAAGAATGGAATGCGACCCAAACTGAATCTGTGATTGCCGATAAAACCAGTTTGTGCGTCAGCGCACCGCAGCCTAAACAAAAGGCTGCCTTGCAAACGGCTTTTCCGCGTTTTCAGTTAGATGCACAGAATATTTGTGTCTTTTTTCTTCTTTTAAAGCATATTTGCGGCTAATATGACGATAAATAATAAATGCAAGTTAAACACAGTGTGTGCGTCCTGCAGGCTTTGTGTGTAAACACAAAAGAGGATAGGCTAAATAAAAGGAGATCGTTTTGTTGAGTGTGAGGGGAAAGCTGTCAGCTATTTTTATTGAATTATATTATTTTATAGATAATATTGTCATTTAAAAAATTAAAATAACCAAAACTACTTGTACCTAAACAATAATTCAAATGGTGCCAAACGTTTAGCGCACGTTTGGTTTTTTCCACACGAGCTTCCATCGTGCATGCTCCGATGTTTCATTTACTCGAGCATATTGTGCACATTGACACGCACACACACATTCGCAGAACCGTAACCTGAAACGCGCACACCTCATCCATCTCCACACACCCGAACACACTCGCACGCGGGCTAAAGGAGAGGGGAATGCTGCAGAAAATATCACCCGCTGCGCTCCCAAAGCATGTAAATATTTTTGGTTAACAGCGTTCAATAGAAACTCTTGTGATATGAAGTCTGTCGTCTTGCCCCTAAGCTATATGTATTTCTTTCCTCCAAAGCTCGTCTTTCTTTGACTTTCTTATCTGTTAAACTCGTGAGTCCCTTGTGGCCCGTTTACGCAGCGGAGAGGTCAGACTCCAGATCCCCCAAAACGTGAATCGTGCACGTTACTGACTGAATACATAAATAACACCTCCACAAATATTTTATATTAACTTGTAAAAATAATCTGGTGTGAGAACTAAACTCACACAACCCAAAATATTATTTTTCCCATTATTTGTTATAATTAGCGCACAAGGAATCATTATAGACGCTTACGCAGCGCTCAGTTTGATTTTAGAGCTTTTCGCGCGCGCGCACATGAGTAAATATCGATAAATGTGCCTCACAGAAGGTCCAGTGTCTTCAGGTCAGTGTGACCCACATTCTCTGTGCTTCACACCTGTGCGTCTTCTGGCTTCGCTGCAGAAAAGAAACAGAAAAACCAGAGAGCGCACCGAGTTTAACGTGATAAGTCCGAATCAAGTGGGGAGGGAAGGGACCCCCCCCCACCACACACCCCCACACCCCCCCCCACCCCCACCCCCCCACACACACACCGTGCGCCACCGACCTAGGGGTTGCAAACAATCAAGGCTCGTTTCACGGCGCGTCTTGCCTGAACCTTTAGTTTCTGACGACGACAACAACAACAACCTGATTTTACCTCTGATCGTGCTGCCAGGAAGAGTCAGAGCCGCAGTTCGGTGGGAAGCCCACCACTCCAGTTGGGATTTCCAGATAATTCCATAATTCCAGCTCTTCCCACTTGCTCGTCTCATTTGCTGAGCTTTTGCTTCTGCTCCCAAACTTGCTGCGTCATGTTTGGAGTTGACAGCTCATTTGAAAATGTTATTTCATTTAATTACTTAAATAACGTTTTATAACGTCAAATAAATTAACAGAAATATTTCAACAAATTAACCCCCCCCCCACACACACACACACACACACACACACACAAACACCATCGCGCGCACACGTGCCTGATGCGCGCAGGGTCCAAACTTGACATCACAAATCACATCCCATTTAAATATTTTACAATAAATAAATAAATCCAGATGTATTTGTTCCTTGCTGAGACCAGGAGCTCCTTGTTAGGAATCACTGAGGAATTACACCCCCCTCCAACCCTCCTCTCCTGCCTGGAATCCGGCCGGGACCAGCGGGAGGAAACGAGACCAAGCGGCCGAAGGAGAGACCACAAACGCGGTGTGGACTCCTGACAGCAGTCCGCCGAGGGGCTGGTGGCTCCGCGGTTCTTGTTGAGACTTTTAATGTTGGCAAGTTTGGAGCAAATGAAAGGATGAAGCTGCGACAGAATGATGAACTTAAACCCTGATTATTAATGTGTCAAAATAAATGAACTTTATGAAGGGAGATGATGAAAAAGTAACTTTTTTGCTTAAAGTTGAAGCAATTTCCTGGTTTAATCTATCTATCTATCTATCTATCTATCTATCTATCTATCTATCTATCTATCTATCTATCTATCTATCTATCTATCTATCTATCTATCTATCTATCTATCTATCTATCTATCTATCTAAAAATATATATATTTTTGTTAATATTTCAGGAAAAACGTTAAAAAATTATTCCAAAAACTTTGTAGGCTACTTATTTCTATTTAATTTTATTCACACAAGTCTGGGGACAAATGTGAGAACAGGTCTGATTAAGGCAAGCGGTGCACGCGCGCGCACACACTAATACATTTCGCAGTGTTTGGAGCTTTAATGGTTGTGCATTATTTAAGAATAATTTAAGTTTTATGATATAAAATTGTGTTTTTTGAATATTTGAAATGACATCTTACATTTGAAAAGGACTACACCTTTATAAAAGTGATTTATTTTATAGATGTCGTCAGGTATGGGCTGATATTTTTCAAAGTGAAGACAGGATATTCCAAACACTCATCAAACCAAAGGCGTCATTTGCTATTGCGCCGAGTTTTATGGAGTCTCAGTCCAGGAGGCGCTGCCACTTGTAAAGCCCAGACTCTTCATGACCCAAACCCACTGCCCCACTCCAAAACAATGAATCCCCCCCACCACCACCACTGCAGAATGTGATTTTACTTGCAATCCGAGCCTGAAGTATGTGCGGACAGTGGTGGGGGAGGGCTCTCTCTCCACCTTTCACCCCGTCGTGTTGGGACTGTTTGTATTTTCTTCCTCGGCCCTGTGTGCTCCACTGGTAAACTAAACACAGATTAAACCCAGTGTGCATGGAGGAAAATCACCAGGGAGAAGATTGCTGCACTTCTCTTCACAGAACCTTTCTTTATGGGAATGACAAAATTATGTGTTTCCGGTTTATTTCAACATTTCCTCAGTTATTTTCAAGAAAACAATTAAAAAAAATTTAAATATATACTTTTAATTCCCCTGTTGCATGCTGCAGGATGCTTTTTGTCCTTGCAGACTTTTAACTTTTGTAATTGTTCACAAAAAGCATATTCTGAAGAAATAAAATGCTCATTTAAAAAATGTATTTGTTTTTTTTACAGCGTAAAGAAATTGAGTTTAACTCAAGAACTTAAGGAAGTCTCACTTGTCATTTATTAAAAACAATATTCGACCATTTAGCTCTCTGACACACACACACACACACACACACACACACACACACACACACACACACACACACACACACACACACACACACACACACACACACACACACACACACACACGCACGCTTGAGGATACATATTTATTTTATTCACAATAAATAAAAAATGACCTACAAGGTAGTAATAATAGTAATGACAACAACAACAACAATTATTATTATAATAATTTTCAACAGCTGATGCACAGAAAATTGTGTAAACATCTTCCTCCATCATCTCTTCTCAACGCAAACGCCTAAAATGTTGTCTCTGGCTAAACTAAAAGGAAGGTTAATGATTAAAAATCAAATATTTACACATGTTGCATTATTTGATTATTCGACAGGTTTTCAGATTTGCACAGCTGGTTAGTGTCCTGCCTAGATGTCCAAATCCAGCAGATGTCAGGAGCAGAATCAACTCAAATGGTTCCTACAAACCCTGAAAAGTGAGCCTTTCCACTGAAATTGTGAGAATATTTGACAGCTATTGTGTTGCAAAACTAAAAGAATAAATCCATTTTTTAACATAACTAGTCCAGCACCCTTTTCAGGCTCCTGATTTAGATTTACAGACATACCTCAAAATAAAAATGGAGCATGCACAAGACTTGTTAGACCACCTGCATGAAGGATAAATTACATAAAAGCTCTGAGTGATGGGTATTAGGACTCCAGTGAAAGCAAACAGCATCACTGCTTCTTTGACAACCTGTGGAACATTGTGTATTATTTGTATGGACTTTAACTTAATCAAAAGCAAGTTGTAATTTTTTTTTACTATTTTCAGTATTTTCAGTAAGCCTGCCCCCCCCCCTCCCTTTGTTCTCTGCAGCTCTAATAGGTTTTCCCCTGCCACACAATTCACTTTTTTTCTTCTTCTTCTTTTTTTCCTCAGCCCTGCACCCCCTTTTAGAGCAAGGTCCAGTGTCGACTGGAGCATTTGAGCAATTTGAAATTAAAGCAAACAATGGGCAGGCACTCCCAGGGACCTCTCGCTCACCATATTACACGGAGGACGCTCGTGTGCTCTTGCACATTACTGGCAAGTCATTACGTTTCTCTGGAAACCAAGAGCATGCTCAGAGTCGGTGATGCAAGCAGCAGCTGAGTGCTTGGAATGGCTTGTGTGTGTGTGTGTGTGTGTGTGTGTGCACATGTGTGTGTGTGTGTGTCTGCGTTCTGGTGCATCCTTGGCAACAGCATGGGGAACTGTCAAAACAAAACTGTCTACTGACATGCTGATATGCAGCCTCATATTTTCTTTTTAATACTCCGTAATTTTATTAATTTAAAAGAAAATAAAATCCAGCCGGGACCAGCCGGCTTCACTGAAAAAAATCACCAGGTCTTAAACTTTCTTCATTTGGGAATGTTTTTTTAAAAAGAGTCCAAAAATTATTTTTGGTAAGAGTTAAAAAAAACTATTTTAACACCTCAGCTTGATTTTTTTAAATTTATAAAAATATTTTAAAACACACAAATTAGTGTGCACTACAACTTTTCTAAAGGAATATTAAAATTAATTCAGAAAAAATTATAAGTTCTTGTTTAGAGTACGCAACGGCAGACACGGTGATGCAAATAACAAAAACAAAATTTCAGCTTGGAAGTTGATCAAAAAATCTAAAGAATTGAAAGCATTTTTACCTGGAAATTCAACAATTAAATACTGAACGCTTATGTGGAAACACTAAATTTACCTATCAAAATAATAAATGAAGGACCACAGATTTCCCTCTTTCCCTTCCTTACATTTTAATCTTTTTTATATTTTGAATTTTGTGATTTTTATCTTGAGAGGTGCTATGTAAAAGTTTTTCCTTCTTTCTTTTTGTTACACATAGAGCTATATATGCTATTGTGTTTATCCATGACAGTTGAATTATTTATTTAAAGATGCAATGACATGATTAGCTTTTGCAACCAGTTTGTTTACTGATTATTTCATCAGCAGCTTACCCTAAAAGTAAAAAAAATCATATTATTGATTATTGAAAAGTGTTTCTCAATATTACAAATACTTACATTAAAAGCCTGTGAACCGGTAAGAATCTCTTATTTATTGTAAAAAGTGCTTAATTCTTTAATCAGTTTATAGTAAATGAGTAAATATGGCATAAAGTAAATAACAAAAGATCTGTACATTATCACCACTTCCTTTTTAAAGTACTTATATATTTATCTAGACGTCAGATTTTTTAAAATTTAATTCTAATTTACACAGAAGGATTTTTAAAACGTCAGCTATTGCAGCCAAGTAAAACCAAATAAACCGCTACTCACACCAGACCAATCACGTGGTGCATTTCTTCACTGTACGTCATGACGCTTTTCCGGTTCTCTACGAAGTTCCCCTCTACACACCACCGTGCTATGACGGCGATGTTTTGGTAAAAAAAAACTACTGCGTCGAAAATGGGACGTAAAGACGTTTAAAACATGCCCTTTGGATCTAGTGGGACCTAAAGCGGGCTTGCAGGAGACACGACAGGCGTGTTTGACGAAGGTTTCCGATCAGTCTTTATGTATATTCTTCCGCATGTCGGCCGCTTTCTTCGTAGATGGTCTCTGGCGAGCGTTGTCTGACCGCGGAGCTCTCGACGAGTAACATGAAGGAGATGATTGGAGGTTGCTGTGTGTGCTCAGACGAACGCGGCTGGGCTGAAAACCCGCTGGTTTATTGCGACGGACACGGCTGCAACGTCGCCGTGCATCAAGGTAAGCTGAGGACGTTAGCTGGGCCGTTAGCATTAGCTTTGATGCTAGTTAGCGTTGTGGTTGTTGAAAGGTTATGAAGCTTCCCTCCTCCTCCTCTTCCACCACCCCCTGCTTCCACCAAGCGGAGGTCAGGCTCGGCTCATGCTGCTGGCCTCCCCAGCGCTCTGGCTCGTAACTTGGCCTGAACGTAGATGATAGTTGACAGCAGCTACACGAACACGTTTCTGGCTGCGAGCTGTGCCATTGTTTCCCTGTCAGAAGCTGTCTTTTAGGGTAAAGTGTAACAGGGACACAGCTTCTGTCAACATGTGCTCACTTAAGAGGAAGGCGATGATTTTGTGATTTTATACAGAGCCCAGTTGTCCGAACATCACCAGACATGAAATAAAAACAGTCCTGTTTGTGTTTGGATGATTGGCGTGCAGTTTGAATACCCAAACACTCCACAGGCTAGCTGCTTTTACAGCAGCTGTGCTCAGCAAAACACGATGATGACTGTTTACATTTGTAAGAGCTAGCCATGTGTTCATTTGGCAAACACAGCAGGAGACTGGAAACTATTTTAACTCTCAGCTTCTCTGATCTCTTGTCGATGCACGCCAGCGACACAACTTTAGCTCGTTCAAGTGTTTTTGATTTGTTTTTTCTTTTTTCGAGCTCCGAAGCTCGAAAAAGTTGAAATTTGTGATTCTGTGTTACACGCTAGTAGGCGCAGAATTAATAATGACATTATTTAATGCATAAATGTTCTTTTTTTATGCTGATACCGATATGTAGAGTTCATGGTCAACTAATGGCCAATGTGTGCTGCCGATTTTATTTTGGGCCAATTTTCGTGACCAAAATCTAGACGTTTTATCTAGCCTAGTGAACCAGACCAAATTCTTGCTTTGCAAAGTTTAAATAATACATTTATTTAGTCTGGCTTGCCAGGCTACGTTTTATCCTCTTGCCATGTTAAAAAGCCACTAATACCAACCTGAATCAGTATCATGATTTTGTGAGCTGCTCAGAATGAAAATCAAACATAGTTATTAAAAAAAAAGTTGATAAACTGACTAAGTATAACTGATACATAAAAAGAAAGGCTTGAAATAATGTTTTGGAGCATTTGTTAACATAAATATACATTTAAATAAAATACAGCAGCGCCAAGCTGCCCACAAATGTGCCTTTTTAAAAATCTTCTCTACTAAAGGTATATCGGCTGATGCTGATATAAAGAAATGTTTAATATTGTGTCGATATATCGGTCTATCCCTAATTGAACAGTGTTGGGAATGTTACTTTAAAAAAGTGATTAGTTTTACTTAGTTATTACTTAGTCAAAAAAGTTACTTAGTCAATGTCTGGGTTACAATATTATAAAAGTAACTAATTACCAGGAAAAATAATTATTTAATTACTTTTTTTAAAAAATACACAAGAAAATGGGACCCCTCTTATAAAAACTTACTTAATTTGCTATAAATTACTACAATACTAAAAATATAAATGACTGAATAGATTTGAACATAATAAAATGTATGTCCAATTGTTTATTATAAAATGGAGTAATTGAAATAAATGGGCACCAAACAGGAGGAACTACATACAAGAAACACAACACTAATCTAAAATATTCAAATGTCACAATGTGACATGAAACAAGACCCCAATCACTTACAATTAAATGGTCTCCCTTTAACTGGTCTCTTGGTCTAGTTGAATTACTGAAATAAAGATTTTTCCTGGTGATTTATTAGCATTTCTATAACTCATAATCTAATAAGAATATATTTTAAATAAAATTCCTTAACCCATTAACTGTCAGCTGTTTCCTGATCAGAAAAGCCTGTTGTTGCTAGCGTTTTTCAACGTTTTTAGTGTTTTATTTAAGAGTCACAGAACGTTGCGCGCTAAGATGATGTCGACACCCAAACTACCAAAACAATGAGTCGGCCCATCTCTTACGTCAGGAAGAATCCGAGCATTTCGAGCGTTATTCATTCTTTCATAATCCGTTGTGTAATTGTGATCGGCAGGAGCATTTCCAGTTTGCGCCTCACTTTTTTTACAGCAGCCGCCCAAAAAGATCTCCTAATACATGGATTTTCTGCTTCCTGATCATGTGGCTTTAGAGCTGTGATGTTTGTTTTCACGGTGCGGGGGCTCCTTTCGATGCCCACACAGTAAAAACATGCAAATGACGACTTTAGTCATCACTGGCAGTGAATGAGTTAAAAATGACTCTAGAACAGACACAAATCTGATGGAGAACATAATTTTACTAACTTGGGTCAGACCCAAATGTGGAAGTGCTAATCTGGGTCTAAGCTACTTCTAGTAACACGTGAGTGCCCATCACGTCTGAGACGGACACCGTCAGTGCTTGAGCAAGACTTAAGAAATGATCAGGAACATTAACTGATTCCACTTGGATAACTGGTGGGTGATATGAGATAGAAGATTGTGATGAGGAATTAATGACTTTTGAGCGGTGAACAGGTGAGCGGCCATTTCTTCCTCGTGCTCATTGTGATGCGCTTGTATGTAAATAGGGTTGTCACGGTGTAAAAATGTAACCTCGCAGTTCTTGTGACCAAATTTAGCACGGTTTTCCGTATTATCACAGTTTTTTTTTCAGACAACTAAATAAACCGTCTACATCAGGAAAATATTTTCCTCAGTTTGTTTAAATTTTGCCCCAAATTAGTTATTTTGTAATTATGTTGTTTGTTTACATTTCCCCCCTTTAGTAATTAAAATGCCTAAATTTGCCCATTACTTCTTATTTTTGTCAGTTTCATGTCATCATTTAAAAATATGAGATCAGATGAGTAGCCTTCTAATCAAGTACTTCTTTTTACTCGAGTAATTACTTGCACTGCTGCTGCTTTTCTTGTGTAAAAGGTGTTGGAAGTAGTGCTGCTCTTGAGTACAGTTGTTGGCTACTCAACCCAGCCCCGCCTATAGGTCAGGGGCGCCCAAATGGTTTCCCTCAGTGGGACAAAATAAAAATCTATATCTCCCACTCCTATTTATTATTTCATAATAACTTTGTGTTGTTGGTCATTTCGAGGATATTACATGTACTAATTATAGCACCAGAAACGTGTCCTATATTTTAGCACAACTACATAAACCCTGTATATCAGGATAGTTGTCCTCAGTCTGTGTCCTTCCGCTAGCTTTGCAGATTTGGGAAAAAGCCATCAGGCAGTAGTCGTTGTTAAATTCATTATAATGTGGCGAGAGTCAATCTGTTGTGTTGGCGACCAGCTCTAATCTGCCACCTGGCTGGGAGCCCCGTAATGCATAGCGTCCTATCAATATGGGGGTGTCCACAACACGGTTTATATGCTGCATACTAAGCCTAACCCTGCGGCTGCACTTTAGGGCGACTTGTTGCATTCTGCCTCAACCCAAAGTCCTCACATCATGCATTTCAGCTAAAGCGCTAACGTTAACTAGCCTTGCATTGACTGTAGAGTTGTGGGTGATGGTCACGCAGATATGTCATGAGATTCAAAGTGCCCTTTTGCAGACACCTTTTCCTGCATGTTCTGCAAACAGCATAGTCATCTTCTAACTGGTAGGTAGGGTTGTCACGGTGTGAATGTAACCTCACGGTTATTGTGACTAAGATTATCATGGTTTTCGGTATTATCGCAGTATTTTTTTAAACGTGTTACATTTTCAGACAAGTAAATAAACCCTGTATATCAGGAAAATATTGTCCTCAGTTTGTGTCTAAATTTTGCCTAAAATGTGTTATTTTGTAATTATGTTGTTTATTTGTTTACATTTTTCCCCTTTAGTCTTTAAAATACCAATATTTGCCCATAACTTCTTATTTTTTGTCTGTTTGATGTCATCATTTAAAAAAATTTTGATCAGATGATACTCAGTACTCAAGTAGCCTTCTAATCAGATACTTTTTTACCCTTACTTGAGTAATAAACCCTATATCAGGAAAATATCATCCTCGGTTTGTGTCCTTCCAGTGAGCTTTGCAGATGTGGGAAAATGTCATCAGGCAGTAATCATTGTTAAATTCATAATTATCCTCGGAGAGAGACCAACTCTTATCTTCCCCTGGGAGCCCCGTAATGCATAGCGTCATTTCAACATGGGGGTGTCCGCGACACGGTTTATATGCAGGTAGCGGCGCTGCGGCTGCTTTATATAGCGACTCGTTGCATTCTCCCTCAACCCAAATCCTCAGATCACGCATTTTAGCTAAAACACTAACGTTAGCTTGCCTTGCGTTGACTGTAGAGTTGTGGGTGATGGTCATGCAGATGTGTCATGAGATTTGAAGCATTGCTGCCTTTCACAGACACTTTTTCTGCACGTGCTGCAAACAGGATAGCCGTTTTCTATCAGCTGTCCCTCTGCATTCTTCAAATATCCAAAAAATGCCCGTACTTCCCACTTTGTCTTCTTTGAGGGATAATAATTGTCCTGAGCGCTGCCGTCTCCTCCTTTGGCCATTATTTCAGCTTTAGCTTCAAGAAAGTTTTGGTCGTAGACAACAAAGCGCGCATGTGCCGCCGGCAACTTCAGCAGATGATACGGTGGCTGGACAGGGTCACTGCGCCTACACCGTAGCCACGGTAATCCACCGAGATAATATTTTTTTAAAAAAACAAGACGGTTATTATTGTCAACTTTTTTACCGGGGTTTACCGCTACACCGGTTACCGTGACAACCCTACTGGTAGGGGCCTCTTCAAATATCCAAAATATGCCCATACTTCTGACTTTGTTTTGTTTGAGGGCTGATAAATGTCCTGTGTGCTGCCATCTCCTCCTTCGGCCATTATTTCAGCTTCAGGAAAGTTTTGGTTGTAAACTACAAAGTGCTCCTGTGTGGCATCTTCAGCAGATGAGACGGTGGCTGGTAAGGGTCACGGCGCCTACACTGCGACCGCGGTGATCCACCGAGATGATTATATATTTTTTAGAAAACAAGACTGTAATTATTATTGTTAACATATTTACCAGGGTGCACCGCTATAGAGGTTACCATGACATCTTTAGATGTAAACATCTGCCCTTTTAGCTCTCGATCAGCTGATGACTGCTCCCACACACCTCGCTGCCTAATTATAGTAAAGCACAGTTTTCTATTGGTAATGAAAACGGTGTTCTGACAAATAACAAGAAGTGATTAATTAGATTACGCGTAAAGTCGTTACCAAATAAACTTCTGTTAGTAACTGTGTTGTTTTAAACACAGTTATTCCCATCACTGTAATTAAACACAACTCAAATAAAGTTTACCTTTAAAAAAGAGCATTTTGTAACTGGTGGTTGATTGGATCAATCATTTTTCTTGGCAGAGATTTTTGCATTTTGTCGGGCAATTCTCAATATTTGTGGTTGTTGATGTATTAAGCAGAGTACCGAGCAGGGTCAGCGTTTAGACTATATTTTGTCAGTAAATTTGGTTAATTCTCATCCAGATGAGTTAAAAGCTATAACAAGGTTTCTGTAGGTGAGCCTGTTAAAGGATCATTACTGGTTCTCAACTTTATCTTTCTCTCTGGTTTATTCTGCTAAATAGGGATTCTGCTAAATCTTGGTCTAACTACTCATCAGAAGTCTCAGAGGTAAACTGGTGGTTGCCCCTAAATATTAATGCTTCTGCCTAAAATTTAGTTGGTTATATTAGGTAAAGGTATGCAACATTTATAAACCATATTTCTTAGAAATATGCAATATTGGCTTGTGATTATATTTGCTGTCTCGAAGGAATATTTCAGCCATTTTGAAGTGTAAATGTTATAAACTAAACCTATCAGACATTTTCAATTATCGTTATATAATTCAAGAGCCTGATTATACATAAAACATAGAAATAGACTTATAGAGCTGCATTTAATGTATTTATTTCTAATTTCCCTCTGGGATTAATAAAGTATCTTTGAATTGAATTGAATTTACTTCTAAAAATATTGAACAAACATTAAAATCATTACTTATCACAATTTATGGACATCCCTTGTAGCTCTGCGTGCTTTTTGTTAATCATAAAGAAAATCAGCAGCTAAAGATGATCTTTCTGGATTTCAAGCACCAAATTTTGAAAAAGCAAGCTTTTACGTGATTGGATCAGCGGTTGTCCGTGTTCTCTGTACTCTGGATTAAAGTGGTTTATTCCAGTGGATTATGAAGCTCTGGTCAGATCAGAGATAATCTGAAAATGTGTAGAGCTAAGCTATTTAAAGTAGTGTTGCCACCTTTAGTCTGGCTGCATATGCTTGGTTACTTCCCAAAAAATGGAGGAGGAATGATGCAAATTTAAATAATTACCTTTGCCTGTTCTTGTCAAAATAAAAGTTTTGAATTAGTACATGAAAATTTAGATGCATTTTTCTTCTTTGGCTTTATTACCCATCGTTTTTTTAGTCATTATTTGGTAGTACGACATGTGAATGTTTTTTTTATGGTGATCGGCCGTACTGGTCCCGTCTTTTAATGGCTCTCCGGCCTCTCTTCAGCCTGCTATGGAATCGTCCAGGTGCCGACTGGTCCCTGGTTCTGCAGGAAGTGTGAATCTCAGGAGAGAGCAGCTCGTGTGGTGAGTCTTTTAATTCTTCTCCCCATTCATCTTTTATGAGCCATCTCAATGACTTGATCTTAAAGGAGACATATTGCACCCGAGGTTAACACAATAAAACCTCTGTGACATCCTTTTGCTGAAATACCGGGTGGAAAGAGAACCATAAAACCTCGGCTCTTGTCATAGCAGCTGCTTTTAGGGTTTGGAGCAGGCAGTGTATCAGTGGGTGTGGATTTATTGAGATACTAGATTTTTAAATTGATGAAAGAAAGTTTAATCAAAAATAGACACGTTGAACTAGTGGGTTTCAGTCATTTCCCTGCTCTTACACACTCGATAGGAGTGGTTTAATTACTTGTTCAGCGGGTCATCAAGCTCTGCAGAAGCCTTTTAATCATCCGCTGAATAAAATCAGGTGTGCTGATGGAGAGGAACCTCTAAAAATGCTTGATAGGGACTTTTGAGGACCGTGGTTAGACAACACTCTGCCTTTTGGTTCAGAGAACTTTTCCTCACGCTTGCTTACATCTTACGCTGATGCGTATATTTAACAAAACTGTTAAATATCCGATATTAATATTGCTGTTATGGCTGGTAACCAATATTTACCAATATTATAATACAATAAGATCAACACCTTTTAATGATACAATACCATGCTCATATTCTACATCAAACTCTTCAGATAGGTCTCCTATAACTCAAAGTGTGTAAATATGACCAATGTGTAGGTTTTTAGATTTGGCCTATATTTGTTTCTCTGGCACAACTGGCCTAAATGAAAGTTTAAGTATACAGGAAATGTGATCTGATGTTAGTTACCTAAATTATTGGGGTAAGGGGTATATTATCATTGTTTTATATTGGTGTCAGGAATTAAGAGTTAGGCTATATCAGTGTATGGGATATAAAACATTCCTAATAAGGTCAACAATATATAAATATATAAATTTCCAAGCGATATTTCCTTTGAATCATTGCACACTAAATTCAGAAGTGTTTCAAACACTTCTGAACTCCCAGACACCTGCATTGATCTGCTAATAGTCTGCAAAGTTTTGGACCAAGTTTCCAGCAGCATGAAAGCAAGGCCTTGTGATTGTTTGCAATTGTTCACAATTGCTTTCTGAATTTACCGTTAACAACCAGAGGCTTGCAGGCCAGTAAAATACTGGCTTTTAAAAACCGATTTAAGCTTTTGTATCATTTTGGAAAGGTTTCTTAAATTTTGACATGCCGTCATTGCACCGATAAAAAATATTATTCACACAGTGAAAATGTTAAAAATCACCCCAGTCTTTCTGGGAGTGGAGTTTACAAGTTTATCCCAAGGTCAAAGTTAGCAAAGCTCAGAGAAACTGCAAACAATCCCTGATAGTATGTTGCAGACTACAGTCCTTGACACAGCGATTAGAAAAGGCTGAACATCTGGGATTTGTTTGGTAGGGGCCAAGAGAAATGATCTACTCTTTAAATGTCTCATTCACATATTTTTTCAGTAAATTTGCTATGGTCTCTAGTATGAATGAATGCCATAGGCAAGTTTCCATTATCGGAACTTCAGGATGATTTTACAGGAACTTTACTGCATGCCCGTGTCCCCATCTCACCAGCCCAGCCTGACTGGGCTGGATTCATGCCATTCCAGTAACCACAAGAGCAATATGGGTCTTGCTCTTAAATATTCATGATATTCAAATGTATGACCTCTGATTGGCTAACAGTAACGCAACTCTTCCGCTGCCTTCATTTGTTCTTTCTTGGGTAAATAGTGCTACGTTAATACGGAGCAGAAGGAATGTGCGTTCGTACCGCAGTTGGTAAAATGTTCCTAGTTTAAGTGGACACGTTTATTTACATTGTTTATGATACTGGGGCACTCTGTTCAGCTTGTTTAAACTAAATATTAATTGTTAACAAGGAATGAAAATTTAGCAACATTGAATGATTATTATTTTCAAAATGAAAGTGACGGGGATAAATGGATCATGTGACCTCTGGCTGCGAGCAAGTGCTGCCTCCTCAGAGTGCAACCAAATGCAGCAGCGATTCATTTAGCTTCTTCCTACTCAAACTCATAAAAGAAAGAAACTCAGTAGTCTATGTTCAGAAAAAACATTTTGCTTAAATAAAGTAACACAATGGTGGGCACCACAGGGAAAAAAAGACAAGGCTTCCTTCTAACACTTAAACCGTGTTTAATACGAGCCGTTTATACATCACTTTACCAAACAAATCCAAAATTAAACAAAAAGAAAAATCAAACTTTCTCTTCAAGCTAACCATATGCACTGTGCTTCCTTTAAAAAGGTGTTTGGACTTCTGTTTTCACAAATCAGTCTGTTGTAATTTATTGGACTGATGATTGGCGGTGGGGAAAATGATCGAAATCACCCAACTTGAGTTGGGCAGCCTTGCACCATTTCGGCAGAGCAAACTAACCAAGATGACAGTGGCTCAGGATAGGCACTCATTTGAAATGGCTTTGGTCTCAACTTGGGAGGATTTAGACTTAGGCCAGTGTTTCCCCAAAATAGGTTCAGAGACGCTGTGCCACGTCTGAAATTCCAGCGCCATACCTACTAGGGCTGAACGATTAATTGCATGCAGGAGATGCACGGAATCGAAACTTTCCATGCTCACACTTCCCAACCGCTGGCTTCCAAATAAGAGAAAAAAAGGGGTTTGTGGTGCTATTTTACTATTTTGTAATTGTCTGGTACATGACAATAATCTGTACAATATTGTAGTAGGGTTGTCACGGTGTGAAAATTTAACCTCACGGTTATTGTGACCAAAATTATCACGGTTTTCGGTATTATCGCGGTATTTTTTTACACGTTACATTTTCAGACAAGTAAATAAACCCTGTATGTCAGGAAATATTGTCCTCAGTTTGTGTCTAAATTTAGCCTAAAATGTGTTATTTTGTAATTATGTTGTTTATTTGTTTACATTTTTCCCCTTTAGTCTTTAAAATACCAATATTTGCCCATAACTTCTTATTTTATGTCTGTTTGATGTCATCATTTTAATAATATTAAATCAGATGATACTCCGTACTCAGGTAGCCTTCTAATCAGATACTTTTTTACCCTTACTTGAGTAATAAACCCTATATCAGGAAAATATCATCCTCGGTTTGTGTTCCAGTGAGCTTTGCAGATGTGGGAAAATGTCATCCGGCAGTAATCATTGTTAAATTCATAATTATTCTCGGAGAGAGACCAACTCTTATCTTCCCCTGGGAGCCCCGTAATGCATAGCGTCATTTCAATATGGGGGTGTCCGCGACACGGTTTATATGCAGGTAGCGGCGCTGCGGCTGCTTTATACAGCGACTCGTTGCATTCTCCCTCAACCCAAGTCCTCGGATCACGCATTTTAGCTGAAACGCCAACGTTAACTTGCCTTGTGTTGACTGTAGAGTTGTGGGTGATGGTCACGCAGATGTGTCATGAGATTTGAAGCATTGTTGCCTTTCAGACACTTTTTCCTGCACGTGCTGCAAACAGGATAGCCGTCTTCTATCAACTGTCCCTCCTGTCCCCTTCAAATATCCAAAAAATGCCCATACTTCCCACTTTGTCTTCTTTGAGGGATAATAATTGTCATGAGCACTGCCGTCTCCTCCTTTGGCCATTATTTCAGCTTTAGCTTCAAGAAAGTTTTGGCCGTAAACAACAAAGTGTGCATGTGCCGCCGGCAACTTCAGCACATGATACGGTGGCTGGTAAGGGTCACTGCAGCCACGGTAATCCACCGAGATAATATATATATTTTTTAAAACAAGACGGTTATTATTTTTGTCAACTTTTTTTACTGTGGTTTACCGCTACACCGGTTACCGTGACAACCCTAAATTGTAGGGCTACCACAAACAACTATTTTAATAGTCGACTAATTGCCTTCTGTTGACGATTAGTCGACTAATCGTGTCATGCATAAAAGTATAGCTTATTGCACCAGGATGCTCTAATATAGCCATCATTAGCTTCTAGTTGAAATGTGATCAGTTATGTGCCATCTAATAATAAAGACAAGATGATGGCTTATTAAACAACTTTTAATTAACTTTGTAACCTGGTAATACAAATGCTACAGTGGTGAAATGGGATCGGCTCAAAGAAACCTTGATCGTTGACCATGGACAGGAGTCTCATGACCACCGGGCTTACCATGGCCTCCATCAGGACGTTAACTTGCTGAGGTTTGCACGTAACTAATTTGTCCATTAAAGAGGAGCACTTTTATTAACACTGTAACGTAGCGGGAAGAAATAAATCATTAGCATTTGCAAAAATATGTCACACACAAATGTGTTCTAAAGGTAATAAAATCGCCACCGCTATTGCTACACTTATGAATACAAGTAACTCTGTTGATGTTAGTAGCTAACAAGAGGTCAACTTACCATGTTTTCCACCGCGACGTACTCAAGGTGCTCGTGCATCGCTGATGTGCTCCCGTGAAAGGAGAGTTTCACTTTGCAAAGTTTGCACTCTCCGTTTTTATTTTTTGCTTTAAACCCACAATTCTGTACCATGGTATTCATCATCAGAATGTTATCCAGGCTTCTGTTATCCTAACTGAAAGCTCTCATAAATACCATTCCAGTGTGGCTAATATCTACAGAATGTGACAAATAACTGTGCATAAGCTGTTCAGGCAGGAATGCAGCCATGGAGAGCCATTCATTCCCTCTAAATGCTTTTAGAACCGTCGTCTGACCTTAACTCCTCAGACCTCTGAGTCTTCACGTGTTAGACCGATCTCTCGGTGAAACTTGTTAGAACACAGCAGCTTACACGGCTTGTTGAGCCTCAACTTAACATGACCTCAGCAAACTTCCAAGGACCTGGCTAGATGTTGTCAAGGCAAGATTTACCTTGTGTAGCTGTTGATACAGGTGCTAGAGTGCTTTTTTCTGAACTCGTGCATGGAGAGCAAATATTCTTTAGCTTTTAACTGGTGTACTGACTCAAAGGGTCTTCTTGAAAAATAAAAATAAATAAATGGATATGGCAACATGTTAATGAGAAGCTATGTTCATATTTGAGTGTAATTTTGTTAGTATCAATTTTTATCTCAAACCATGTTCTATTATTTAACCACATTTATTTAGACCATATTTATTATATAATATTTAAAATTTATTATATAAAAATTGTAATATAACATTTCTGGATATTGGACAATTTTACAAGAACATTTGACCTTCAGTTTACCAGAAGAAAAAAAATTGGAATTGATATCATCCATGAAAATATTTCTGTAAATCATTATTTTATATTAAAAGTATATTTATAAAGTCTCTGATGTAGGAAATATCCTATGGCTAATAATATAATTGTGTGGTGATGGAAAAAAAACACGTAAATTGTCAAGAAAATCAGATATTCTGTAGAATATACTCTAGAGATGTAAGAAAATATGTTTACTGAAATATCTCGATATTTTTTGTTATGATACTAAACCAATAAAAAAGCATTTAGAATGCAAATGCTAACATTTACTTTGGCCATTTCTCAATATGCAGACTTGTCCAAACTTGTGTACTCACATCCTTGTGAAACGTCAACGATGGCCCAAGGACTGTTCCAATCCCAAGTATGCATAACGGCAAGTTCGCTCAAAGTTCCCGGATGTGTTCTTGCTCTGCCCGTTGTATCAAGGATGCATCAATGCATCCTTCTGCAGACTTGGGACAGCAAAGTTTCCCATGATGCATTTCGTAGCAAATCGTTAAAGTCCAAATGTCAGAGGAGAAATCTAATAGCTATAATGTTTTATATTAGAAATATAAATAAAAATATTTATTTATTTAATAACTAAATAATCTAAAGTTGCCTGTTATTGTAAATAATTGTGTGTAAACTGTAAATTTTGCTGTGTGTGTTCGTGTTTTACTCTTCAATATCTTTCAAAATGCTAAGTAGCTAACCCCCTATCAAAATAAAAGCACCATAGGTCTGTTCTGATGAAAAATAAACATTTTTTATTCGTTAAAAGGCGGGAAATGCTAGTATTTTAGTAGTTTTGATCAAAAGTGGGCCAAATATAATACAAATCATACGTTTTAGTTATTTTGTTATTTAAGGAACAAACTAGACTTTTATTTTTATGTCAGATTTTTTTTTTTTTTACCGTAGCAAGAAGTAGTGCTTGTTGCCAGGACACAACAGAATATGCTTCTGTTCCAAAAGCCGTCCGCGTCCTCCCATACTCGGAGACTTTCTGGAGTCCTTGCCAAGAACTTACTTGCCTAGTACTAGGGTTGTCACGGTAAACGGTGTAGCGGTAAACCCCGTTAAAAAAAAGTTGACAAAAATAATAACCGTCTTGTTTTTTAAAAACTATTATCTCGGTGGATTACCGTGGCTGCGGTGTAGGCGCGGTGACCCTTACCAGCCACCGTATCATCTGCTGAAGTTGCCGGCGGCACATGTGTGCTTTGTTGTTTACAACCAAAACTTTCTTGAAGCTAAAGCTGAAATAATGGCCAAAGGAGGAGACAGCAGCACTCAGGACAATTATTATCCCTCAAAGAAGACTAAGTGGGAAGTACGGGCATTCTTTGGATATTTGAAGAATGCCGAGGGACAGCTGATAGAAGACGGCTATCCTGTTTGCAGCACGTGCAGAAAGTGTCTGTGAAAGGCAGCAATGCTTCAAATCTCATGACACATCTGCATGACCATCACCCACAACTCTACAGTCAACGCAAGACAAGTTAACGTTAGCGTTTTAGCTAAAATGCGTGATCTGAGGATTTGGGTTGAGGGAGAATGCAACGAGTCGCTGTATAAAGCAGCCGCAGCGCCGCTATCTGCATATAAACCGTGTTGCGGACACCCCCATGTTGAAATGACGCTATGCATTACGGGGCTCCCAGGGGCAGATAAGAGTTGGTCTTTCTCCGAGAATAATTATGAATTTAACAATGATTACTGCCTGATGACATTTTCCCACATCTGCAAAGCTCACTGGAAGGACACAAACCGAGGATGATATTTTCCTGATATAGGGTTTATTACTCAAGTAAGGGTAAAAAAGTATCTGATTAGAAGGCTACTTGAGTACTGAGTATCATCTGATCTAATATTTTTAAAATGATGACATCAAACAGAAAAAAAACAAGGAGTTATGAGCAAATATTGGTATTTTAAAGACTAAAGATAAAAAATGTAAACAAATAAACAACATAATTACAAAATAACACATTTTAGGCAAAATTTAGACACAAACTTAGGACAATATTTTCCTGATATACAGGGTTTATTTAGTTGTCTGAAAATGTAACACGTTTAAAAAAAATACCGCGATAATACCGAAAAACGTGATAATTTTGGTCACAATAACCGTGAGGTTACATTTTCACACCGTGACAACCCTACCTAGTACACAAGAACGTACTAGCGTCCTTGAGTATTGAGAAATGGCCCACATCTTTTGTGTGGTACAATTCAAACTCCGACTGCTGGGTGGCAGCAGTTTTTAAAGCCTTCTTCCTGAGGGAACTTCAATGCGTTTACATGCAGAGATGCTAATAAACAGGGAGCCTTTATCCTAGTTTACATGTACGTTAAAAAATCGGAATGTTGAATGAAGTGCATTCCATTCTGCCACGGTAGGAGGCGACATGCACCCTTTTGTGTCTGTATTCTCCCGGTTAGCCTATAGCAGGGATTAAAGTTCCCCGTCGTAGCGATGGAAATCCATCATTTGGAATAATCAGAAAAAAAGCTCAGCCAAAATCTCTTCTCGCGCTCGCTTGGGTTTAGTAGTCTCTCTCTCTCTCTCTCTCTCTCTCTCTCTCTCTCTCTCTCTCTCTCTCTCTCTCTCTCTCTCTCTCTCTCTCTCTCTCTCTCTCTCTCCCCCCCCCCCCCCCCCCCCCCCCTGTTTCTCCTGTTTGCTAATTGAAACGCGCACCTGTGTTGAAACGCGTTTCTCCACCGTTCTGCACCGCCCAAGCTGCAGAAACACGCGCGCTCATTGCTGGCTCCCATGGTGCGCACAAACTGCGCACGTACCGGGCGCTGGGATTCTAACAGAGCCATTAAAGCTCTGATATCACAATGAGAGTTAACGTGATGAGCGGAACCAGGATCTAAATTCCCGGTGGACCGACCTGAGGTCGGTGTTTTAAGTCGTCTCTTTGTTTTTTTCGGGCCGGTGTTCAGTCATGACACTCTGCTGATCACCTGCTGATGAGAGGATTTCTCTTTTCAGTGGAACAGGTGAGCTGCTGAGCAAGCGTTAGTTCCTAGAAACACTTTCTATGCCCAGACTGTAGTGACCTGTTATTTATAATTTTATAATTAACATTAAGTGAATGCACTGAACCCAAAAATGATAGAAGATAAGATTAAATATTATTAATCATATTACTATCAGATGTAGATAAGTATAACTGATAACTATAATCTTAATGAAAAACTGATATTAATATTTGTTATTTTAATATTGATTATATTTCATTTCTAAGGTTTGGATGTCTGTGAACATTACAGAATATTCAGGTTGGTGTAAAGAACATGATATTATTAACAGCTCATGATCTAAAGCTGGTCTGAGGTATAAAACTCTGCCCTGGGCCTAAAGCCCTGCAGATATATTTAGTTTCTATAAACACCAACAACAAATAAATAACAGCAGCTGGATTCTACTTTGTTCCTTAAATTGAGTCACGTAGTTTTGCAAGTTCTGCAGCTCACACGGTCAACATGGAGCTCTGCCAGCTGATTGGTTCTTTTGGTAACTAGTGCAGTTCTGGTACTGAGCAGCATGGATGCATCAGTGGATTTCACTGTAGTCTGTGTTCATAATAGATTAAGAAAGGACAGGAAAACATTGTTAACTCAAATATATCATTATAATGAACATGCATAGATACTTTATCATACATACCTACCAGCCTGTAACTCTACTTTTCCCCCCAAAATGCACCATACTGATGCGTTTAAATATAAAATGTCCAATAATTTTTTTCCGGGGGGCATGCCCCTGATACCCCTAGAGTACGTTAATACTTATCATCTTTTTTTTACCTCAGAGAAATCTCAACACCCACACGTTTAAACCCTGTGTATGTGAACGGGTTATTCCAAAATTTTCAGAAATAGTGGCTGCGTGCACTATTGTAGCCTCAGCAGGTCTACCATTGGCCCAAACAGTTACAGCGCTCTATGTTTGATGGGCGGGGTTAAGCACCAGAGCTGCGACTAATAAAGTATACAAAGATTAATATTCACGGGCTGTTGACCAAAGAAAATAGATGAAAGTCATGGTGTATGTCGCCAGTGAAAATGAGTCATTAATACAAATGCAGAAGAATCGTAACTGTTAATCAGTAACTGACTCAACGCACAGGTTGCTTTTTGTGGTGTTTAGAGCACCACCCTGCCCTTCTGTATGTAAAAAAATTTGCTGACTCACTAGAAGGGGAGTCGCCTTGAGCTGGGATGTTAGGAGGCAGATAATGAGGGTGTTTCCCCACCGTGGGTACCTGTCCGCCCCGTTTCACACTGCTGTGTTTACTTCACCCTGAGCTGACCTTAATTTTTTTGTCACCAACAGAGATGTGAGCTCTGTCCCCACAAAGATGGAGCCCTCAAGAGGACAGACAACGGAGGTAGAGGCACATGCCCCCCCCCCCCCACACACACACACACACACATCTGTGGTTTGCCTCTTGTGTTTGCTGCATGTCAACAGCAAGTTGAAGGGCTGTGAGCGTGCTGGGAGAGTAATGTAGCTGTTTGTTGTGTGTGCTGCCTCTGTGTACCGTCCTCGCCAGCCCAGTGTTTTATGAGTGTGTGTGTGTGTGTGTGCATGTTTATGAGGGGGCGGGCCAGGATGGGTATAGTGCGTGGCCTGTGAGGAGTCTCCACGAGAGGTTCATCGAGAGGTCATATTGGTGGAGACTGTAAATATTCTGTGTGCATGTAAGTGTGTGTGTGTGTGTGTGTCAGAGAGAGAGAGAGGCACAGCTGTGGGATTGTGTCCAGGCCTGCAGGGAGGCATCAGGACAACACTAACACACACCGTTTTACTACTTTCTCTTTTATTTTACCCTTCCCATGACCCCTCTCTGTCTCCCTGCTTTTTCTTAGCATTTTTCTCTCACCGCCTTTCCTCGTCGGCTCCTCCTCACTTGTTGATCTGTTTGGTTGTTGTTTCAGGTGGGACATTAGTAAGGCAAAGTAAAGGAATTTGGCTGGAAAACCAGGCAGTTGCACAAAAACAAATCACATCATTTATTGCCAACGTTTGTTCCATATTTTAGTTTGTTTCAAGGTTTCACATCAGTTAGAAGAGCTGAACGGTGACGCTAAATATATCAAAGATACTTTACATTTATAATTTATATGTATATAAAGTTAAAGATTAGTTTTTCTACATGCAGATAAAATCCTGAAGTCAAAGCAGCAAGTAAAACCCTCTCTTTCTTAGGTTTTCTAGACTAGTTTCAGAAGTAGAGTTACGCCACTTTTATAGTCCTGTTTTATAGGCCTCTTCCAGATTCTTGGAGGGTCTTCAAAACAACGTGTCCACATTTCACATCCGCTCCACCCTTCTGTCCCGCCCCCTGGCCTTCTCCCACCGTCCCACTCACCAGGTCAAAGGCAGGTCATGGGTTCAACTGTAAGTTTAAGCCAGTTTTTTGTTTCAGCTGGGGGGGGGGGTGACGGGGGGTAGAAACAGACACCTCCAGTGTGGTTTGGTGACTCCCACCTCCATCTGACCTGCCGTTCACCTCCTCCAACTCCTCAAGTTGTCGTCAATTTTGGTGCCTCTTCACCATGCCCTGCTGTCACTCTACTGCCCCCAGTTTGTCTTTGTTAACTGTGTGTGTGTGTGTGTGTGTGTGTGTGTGTGTGTGTGTGTGTGTGTGTGTGTGTGTGTGTGTGTGTGTGTGTGTGTGTGTGTGTGTGTTAGAGTTCAATAAACAGATGCGTTCACACACTCCCACTTAACTAATAAAACTAGCAATTTCAGAGTTTTTTTATGTAGTTGTTTTATTGAGTTTAAATGTATTATTTATAGTAAATAAACAGTGATTTTTTTATTTTCATGCAGGAAAAAGATACAAGAAATTAGCATTAAGCTATTTTGTGCTTGTATGTGTTTTTTCCCCCAGGCTGGGCCCATGTGGTTTGTGCTCTTTACATACCCGAGGTGGAGTTTGCAAACGTCTCAACTATGGAGCCCATAGTTCTCCAGTCTGTTCCCCATGATCGCTACAACAAGGTAACAAAACGCAGATTTAGTTATGTTGTTTTGGATTGGGTTGAAAAATCTTTGCATGGTTTTGTGTTGACAGACGTGTTACATCTGCGAGGAGCAAGGCAGAGAGAGTAAAGCAGCCACTGGAGCCTGTATGACCTGCAACAAACATGGCTGCAGACAGGCCTTCCACGTCACATGGTGAGGCTTATTACGGACGGAGTCTTTTCATTCACCTGTGCTCTCACTGTTTTTAAATTTTCATGAGCTGCTTTAGAGCCAAAAGGGGAAATTCTTCCACACACAAACAGTAGAAAGAGGATTTTACTGCACGAAATATTTTGTTGTTACATTTACGTTTAACAATTTCATAACTGCACACACAGAATGCCAGCGCTGCATTGCTAACCCTTCTCACTCACTGGTTTGTGTTTTTATTATTCTCACTGCAGTGCCCAGTTTGCAGGCTTGTTGTGTGAGGAACAAGGGTCTGATGCAGATAATGTCAAATACTGTGGATACTGCAAATACCATCACAGCAAATTGGTAAGTGTCTGCTTTTTCTTTCCTGAATGCACGCACGTTTTTGTTTCAACACCAGCTGGTATGACAAAAGTCTGCTCGGCTTATAAAAGCATCCTTAAACCGTTTCCACTCATTGGTTTTGGTTATTTAATACACGTAAATATTAAAATTCATTAATCTTTGACTAATTTATTCATCGTACCATGATCTGTGGCAGCACCAGGGTTTAGTTGCATGTAATTATAAGTACAGTGAAAGCATAAGTGTGATTACTGCTAAGATACAGAAAGAGGTAGCGATTAATAATAAAACCAATGAGAAACATTTTATCTGTGACCTCTGTTCTCTTTCAGAGGTTTATCTACCATCACTTCCTTCTTTTCGATTGAATTGTGTTCTATTTGTTGCCACATCTTTCTAAATATCTGTTACAACCATTCTTTCTGCATCGATTTGGTTCTTCCAAGTGAGCTGCTCCCCCCCAACCACCCTTCAATTTCTAGTCTCTCGTGGCAGCTACTTTTACTTCCCTGCATCTACTTCCTCTTCCACTGGATCAGTGAATCCATGCCGCCTCTTCTTTCTGCTCTTCTGCTTGATCCATAAAATCTAGTCATCCCTCTCTGTCCGCCATTGTTGGTGCTGTTGTCTGCTCTCTCAAACGTTGTCCCCAGTCGCCTGTGTTGTCTTTTCACGTTGAGATAATTTGGGAAGTGCTGGATTGGGTCGTCAGGGGATTTAATATCCAAAAATACATGTTAGTTGTTGTTTTTGTGTACATTTTGTAAATGATTACTATATCACTTGTTGTAGATGACTTTTTAACTGCCTCTGTTCAGGAATGTAGATTCAGGTCTTTCAAGACTGATAAGCTAACAGTTAGTCTGAGCGTAGCCAGATTGAAATCACCAGATATTCAGCTTGATCAGCTCAGTTGCCGATCAGCCAGTTGGAATCTCAGTCTCAAAAAAATGTTGCTGAATAGACCAAAATCTGTGTCAGCAAGTCAAGAGTTGCACATAATTGGTAATGGCTCTGAAAACCAGAAGTGGTGCACCTCTGCTGCTGTTTAAACTGTATGTGGACATATAGAGCAGTGAGAGTCCAGAGAGTGTTTCCACTGTCGGAACTTCTGGGTAACTTCGCCAGAGCTTCTCAGCATGCACGTGTTTCCACTTCACCAAGCCTGACGAGCGGACTGTTTTCAGGAACTTTCGGGGTACCTGAACGGGGTAGGTATTCAGAAAAGCCTGATACTGTAGCAGAATGAAAGTTTTGGTTAACTCATGCTAATTGGTTGCAACTTAGTAGATGTCATTTAAAAAATAGAATGTATGCGCTACTTTAAAATCACCGTTATTTAATTCTTAACACCGAAAAACAAAGCAGAAATTGACGTAATTTGCTGGGCTTGGGCAAAGAGTACTGTAAAAACTGACATGTCTTCTGGTCATTGGACGCCACATTTTACATCACACGACCGCTCTCCCAATCCTCTGAATGGATTAAATGGCCGTACTTCAACAGAATAAAAGGCCATGATGATGATGATGTACCACACAATTATTTCAGCAGACATGTTGAACACCTGTCGGACTGTGTCCCTGGATGCACAGAGAAGTATGGGTGGTTTACTGCTGCCTTGTAAATAACCATCAAACTACATCAGAGCATCTGCGGGGTCTTAAAAAGTCTTTAAAGTCTTGAATTTAATGAAAGGAAAATTAAGACCCTTAAAAGTCTTTAAAAAGTCTTAAATCGATTTAGTAAAGTCTTAATTTGGTTGGTATTGACGTGAATTTAAATACGTTCGTCTCATACTTGCAAACTTGACGCTTTTCAGTGAAAATTGCTGTTCATGAAACCAAATGCGTTCACATGAATCAAAGAGTTTTTGTTTGAGGGAAGGTGAGTCTTTGGTCGGGTTTCAGTCGCGGTTTATAAGCTGTAGTTTTAGCAAAACGAGGAGTGTTCATCCTCTTCACAAACCATCTTTGTTAGTGGATCACGAGTCGTTGTTTGACCAATCACAGTCACAGAGACAGCTAGGCAAAAGCACGCTGCGGTAGCCGGTATCACGACGCTGCTACTACTGTTTCTTCAACGTCTCGTTGCGGTTGGAGCTTAAAGTTTGTAAAATCATCAAAATCCCCTCCCAAGTACCACAGTTTTCTGTCCAGAACTTCAGCAGCTTTGTCTCCTTTCAGTTTCAGCCTTCGCTGACATTTCCTGAGGCTTGTGTTCTTTCTGGGGGAGTAAGTGTTGCTCCAAAACAGCTTTCCCAGGAATTAGACAGGTCCATCCTAACCCAAAGAAGGTATATATGTCGATGGTTCTGACAGACAAGCTGCTGCAGTTGTTGTTTCAGATTCATACAAGCTAAACCCTTTAGGTACGACTTCCCTACACTTATAAAATATTTGAAATTAAGAAGAAGAAAAACATGCAACAGAGTATGGATCTGTTCTCAATGAGATGTTATTAATGGAAAATAAAGATAAATGGATCTAAAGATGTTACTGGTACTTTTACTATCACTCTGTTGTGGAAAGTCAGCACAAATATTCTGTGAAAACTTTAAAAAGCTACTTAAACCTTCATTATGTTATAGTGGGCCTGTCTATATTTATAAAAGCAGTTGATGGTTTAAAGTAACTGTAACTGAAGTTACTCAGAGCCACAGTAGAAGGTCCAGTCCGAGTTAAGCTGTGGCAGCTGGAGAGGAACTGAGAAACAGCATTAAAGCTTTTGCTGTTTTCTTGTTCCAGTTGAATTCAAATAGAATATATAAGACATCAATTATATAATAATTTTATGTACCGAAATTTCCAGATTATAGAGGGCAATATAAGCCGCACCGGGCTAAAAGCCGCAGATATCTACTGAATTGAAAACGTAGTTTAACTGAACGTAACTGAACTGATCAGTATCGAACAAAACAGAAAAGTTACTGATTAGTTTATTCATCGTCCTCCTGCGCACTGAAACCACTGAAGTCATCATCTTCTTCAATGTCTGAGTTGAACAGCCTCAGAAGAGCTTCATCACATCACATCAGGGAAAACGAGCAGCGCTGTTTTACTGTGAAAAAATCCTCCTGGGCGCTTTCCTTAGCACTCCTTTAACCATTCTTTCATTAGACTTTCCAGCATCCATCCTTTCTGGTTGACTAAAGCCGCACCTCATTATAATAATAATAATAATAATAATACATTTTATTTCAAAGCGCCTTTCAGGACACCCAAGGTCACTTTACAGAAAACACGTAATAAAATACAATAAAACAATAATAAGACCCAAACAAGAAAAAACAAAGAGAGAAACAGTTCAATAAAATCAGAGGTTGTAGGCAGATTTAAACATGTGTGTTTTGAGTTTTGATTGGAAAAGGGTAAAACTGTTGATGTTCCTGATGTCTGGGGGAAGTGAGTTCCAGAGACGGGGAGCAGAGCGGCTGAAAGCTCTGCTCCCCATGGTAGCGAGACGGGCAGAAGGAACCGCAAGATGGATGGAAGAAGATGATCTGAGTGAACGGGATGGGGTGTGAATACTTATAAGGTCTGAGATATATGGAGGAGAGAGGTTGTGGATTGCTTTGAAGGTATGGAGGAGAATTTTGAAGATGGACCTGAATTTAACTGGGAGCCAGTGAAGCTGCTGGAGAACCGGGGTGATGTGGTGAAAGGAAGGGGTTCTGGTGATAATACGGGCTGCTGAATTCTGGACCATTTGCAGTTTATGAAGGAGTTTGTTGGGGAGAGCATAAAGAAGTGAACTGCAATAGTCGATACGGGAGGTGACGAGGCTGTGGACGAGAATGGCAGCAGTGTGAGGGGTCAGTGAGGGACGGAGACGGTTTATGGAACGTAGATGGAAGTATGCTGACCGAATTAAGTTATTAATGTGAGCTTGAAAAGAAAGTGAGCTGTCAAGAATGACACCCAGACTCTTGACGTGAGGGGAGGGGGAGACTATGGCGCTGTCAATAGTTAAAGAAAAGCTGTCAGATGTTGAGAGGGTGGAGTTAGTGCCAACTAGAAGTTCAGTTTTATTGCCGTTGAGTTTGAGGAAATTAGAGGTGAACCATGATTTGATTTCAGAGAGGCAGAGTGTAAGGGAGGATGGTGGGAGAGTTGAGTTGGGCTTACTGGAAATGTAGAGCTGGGTGTCATCCGCAAAGCAGTGAAACTGGATATTGAATTTGCGGAAGATTTTGCCGATAGGGAGGAGGTATACTATGAAGAGGAGGGGCCCCAGGGCAGAGCCCTGGGGCACACCTGACTTGACTGGGGAGGGTTCTGAGGTAAAGGATTTTACTGGATGAACTGAGTGCGGCCAGTAAGGTAAGATTGAAACCAGCTGAGGGGGGTGTGAGTGATGCCTAAGGAAGAGAGTCTATTAAGGAGGATGGGATGAGAAATGGTGTCAAGGCCGCACTCTGATCGAGGAGAATGAGAATAGAGATTAAACCAGAATCAGCAGCAATGAGTAGGTCGTTAGTGATCTTGATGAGAGCTGTTTCTGTGCTGTGGTGGGGACGGAAACCAGACTGAAACTGTTCATAAAGGTTATTGCGGGTGAGATGGGAATGGAGCTGAGCTCATTATAAGCCGCATGGTTTAAAGCATGGGAAAAAGTAGCAGCTTACAGGTGCTGGCCAGTAAATTAGAATATCATCAAAAGGTTGAAAATATTTCAGTAATTCCATTCAAAACGTGAAACTTGTACATTATATTCATGCAATGCACACAGACCAATGTATTTCCAATGTTCATTACATTTAAATTTGATATTCATAAGTGACAACTAATGAAAACTCCAAATTTGGTATCTCAAAAAATTAGAATATTCTAAAGGCCAATGAAAAAATGTTTGTTTCTCTAATGTTGGCCAACTGAAAAGAATGAACATGAAAAGAATGTGCATGTATAGCACTCAATACTTAGTCGGGGCTCCTTTTGCCTCAATAACTGCAGTAATGCGGCGTGGCATGGACTCGATCAGTCTGTGGCACTGCTCAG